TGAATCAAAGAATAAACTTTTTGATCGTCTCGAAACTCAATCAGGTGAGATGTTGTACCATATGGATGGACAAGATGAATTCAATATCTCAGAAAGGCTAGAAATGAGAGGTTTTGGTCATTTCAGCTGGGGAGGAAACTCTAATATTTTTCCACAAACAGGATATCATTTTGAGTTAATGCCATTAATCAGATTAATCAAATTTATTAAGTCGAAGAAAAGATCAAAACTTGACCACATTAAATCTAAACAAGAACTTGATGATATGAATTTATTACTTACTGCAGAAGAAATCAAAGGATTAGGTGAAAATTCAGATCTTTTGTTTGCTAATCTTAATGTCGAACCATTTAAATCGAGACATTTTGATCTATACCGCAATCAGTCTTACAAAGCTCGTTGTGCTTTATTATCGGGTAGGAAATTTTGTCATGGAAAAGATATTATTGAAAATTTGATTAATTTTTTCACAAATATAAGTATATCAAACAAAAATTCATCAAATAGCTCAATAATGTTTTTAAGTATCAATAATAGAAAAATGAAAGAACTTCCTCTTTTCCGGTCTGACCCTGAAAAGCTAATGACAAAATTAAATATTGTGGTTTTGAAGAGTGCAAGTGAGAAGAATAATTAGAACCTTTCAATATATTTGTTTTCCTTGATAAGCTGAAATAAAGATCAATATATATTATTAATACTTTACGATTGCTTTCATGTAATAGACCCACCAGATATCTACTGTATATTTATATATTACCCCACAGTCTATTGTTCTTGGGTAGAAATTATAATATCTTTACACAGACCAGTAGCGCGAAGTTGAAGGTATTTTGAATACAAATTAATGAACTTCATTCTGTTTACTTCAAATCACTAAAACATCAAAACGCTGCTAAGTTTATTCTGATAATTTAACAATGATATCAAGTATGGTGACTCATTCGAACCAATTGGGTCTTCTGGTGCTCATCGATATTGACTTTTAAGAAGTATGATTATGTTATTTTTCTCAGGTGTTGAATCTTGACGCTTTTGGAATTGAGAATAATAAGCAATGAATTGCCATATACAAAAATCCAAATCCAAATCATATCTCTTGCTTTAAAAAGTCTATTGCTACAAAAAAACACTAAAATATATTGGATCTTTGCTGAAACAACTGAATAGTTATGATGCTTTCTTTCACATTTAGTTTTCCTACATGTTGGTCTGATTTATTTCGTCACATAAGGAGATATTTCATAAGTATAGCATGGAATAATAACTTGAATACAATTCTAAGCATATATTTCTATACCAGGAGATTCAGTCCATGGTATAATGTTTATTTCTGGAGATTGAAAAGTTATATTGGGTATCCATTAAGGTATTATTTTAATCATATACTTAAAAGATTTACTCCTTATATTACCGGTACATCAAGGAAACAGAATTATCTAATCTCACCTAGTAATATTGGAATACAATCTCCAATAAGTTATAGAGAAATATCCATGTATGAAAACTCATTGAAGATCATATTAGGAATCTCTAATGCTATTGACCATACCCCAAATCTTGGCTTAGTTGACCCACAATCAACACATCCATTTGATTTATTACCTTTAGAGATATGGTTAGAGGTACTTCAGTACGTTAATAAACCATTAAAGTTACTAGAGATTAATAAGAAATTTTTGGAAATTTTTGCACCAGAGTTGATACCTAGAAATATTCAAGGTGCCATGGTTTTCAGTTCACTTGAGAAAGTAAGGAAAACAGATTTATTTTTTTTAAAATATGGGCCTGATTGTTATAAAGAAGATCTCAATGGATATTTTTATTATATGAGAGAGAAATCATCAAATGAATATGAATATGAAATCATTGATTTTGATGTTTCTGACTGGTACCGTGCAATTTATTCTAGTATAGTTCCAGCTCATTATATCACTAAGACTTCATCATTTTTGAAACTCAAATTAAATGTCTTGGATAATGAAAAATCTATAATGAAAAGGTTTTATAAGGATTGCAATTTCAAGTTGGATATTGTATTTCTAGATGAAAAAGCTTCAAAAGATTTCATGGGATTGAAGTCATCTGTTGTTCAAAATTTGACTAGTAAAAAATCCAATAAGAAATTATTTAATCAGTTTAAAGTCACCACAGGAGAGATGCTATGTCATCATTATGAATTTGACGATTATCGTATAAGTCACAGAATGCCATATAGAGCTGCTATTGCAGAATATCGCCATCCATATGGGAATACTTTCCCAGAGATATCATATTACTATGAGCTTATGCCATTGTCCAGATTAGTTTATTTTGTGAAAGGGAGAAAAAGAGATTCTTTTGAATATTTGAAGTCAAGCAAAGAGCTTTATGATTTACACCCACTACTTGAAGAGGAAGAGATTAAAGGATTAGGTGAAATGTCTGATTTATCTCTATTTATAAGGGATGATCCAGCAGTTAGAAAAAGAGCTTCTAATTTTTATATGAATCACAACGTAAATGCTCATAGCACGCACGTCACAAGAAGGGAGTTTTGTAATAAGAATGATATTTTGAGAATGATTAACACTTTTGCTAAAGTTAGTATACTAAATCCAAATTCTTCAGAAAGTTCAATGGTGTTTTTTGGGGTCAACAAAAGAGAGCTCAAAAAAGTTCCTGCTGTATACAATAGTGAAAATTCAATGACTAAAATGGATATTGTGGTGTTGAATAGTGTGGGATTGAAAACATCAAAGGAGGAAGATATATAAAAATGAATATTCTCGTCCCTTTAATATATAAGATCTAGTATAGTTTTATGAATATAGTTCTATAAGTTTATGAAGTTGATTGTAAAAGTTTATTATAGTTTATAACAACATCCGAACACCACTGTTTTGATTTTGATCCGAGATTTAATTTCAAGTTGACACATTTTAATAGCAAATTAAAGAGGCAAACCAGTACGATAAACTTGAACATCATCAACTACTAGATCTTCATAAAAAAACACAGCATTTAAACTAGCATTTATTATTGATAGAAAACCAATCATGCCTCCACTTACCCAACCACAACCACAACAGACACAGCCCAATATAATAACAAAATTAAGTCAAGTCATATATCTTAAAGAAAAAGAATTCATTGCATTAAGTATTTATCCAATAACAATATTATTAGGTCAATTAATATATCATTCTCAAACAGAAATAACAACAAATTATTATACAAATAAACATAATTTCCTTAATGTTTTTTTTGTGAAGAAAGGTTGGTTTTGGACAGTTATTACAACATTATTTATTATAATTCAACATGGTAAATCTATAAAAAATTCATTAGTTAGACTTGGTATTCAAACTATTTGGTGGTGGTTTTTCACACAATGGTTCTTTGGGGTACCATTAATGGATAAAGTATTTGTTTGGACTGGTGGTGTTTGTGATTATGATTTTATTCAACATGGTGTTTTAGATGGGATGGGTAGTTCTATATGTAGACAAGTTAAAGGACATTGGAAAGGTGGTCATGATCCAAGTGGTCATGTTTTCCTGTTGGTATTGGGTTCATTAACTTTATGGTTTGAAATTTTAAGTATTGATTCATGGAAAGAAGTTCAAAGGTTTAGATTAGAATTTGTTAGAACTGAATCCTTGTTAGAAAAATTAAAACTTGTGGTTAATAATTCTGTTATACTTGGTGGTGTTTTACTTTGGTTATGGTGGTGGATGTTATTAACTACATCAATTCATTTCCATTCATTTCTTGAACAGATTTCAGGATTAATTTTCGGTTCATTAGGTGTTTTAGTTTATACTATTCCAAGAATGTTTTAAAACAAATGATCTACAAATGGTTATAAAACAATAACAATTATGAATGTAAATAGTCTATCTAGCATCTAAAAAATGTCTTTTTATCTTCTATTCTATTGAGGATCTTTAACTCTCCATGCACTTTTTGGTAAATTTTGTAAATAACCAACTTTTTTCTTTATCCAAGTTGAATATAAAATTAAACTCATCCCAATACAAATCCAATTAGTTATATAATAACCATCTTTTATAGTTTGACAATTTTCACCCAAGGAATCACATTCTTTAACAGTGAAAAAATCAATTAAATTTAATATAATAAATTTTGGCCATTGTCCACCTAAATTTGATATAGTATTTAATAAAGTCATATAAGTCCCACCAATTAACGGGTCTGAAATTTGTGTATGGAATGCACATATAGAAACAAATTGAATTGTAGACATAAATGAACCTAATAAATGATGTAATATAACTAAAATGAAATAACTTTTTGTAACTTGACCTGAAGATGGGAATAAATATATGACAACTTGAGCTAAAGCAGCTGCAGATAATCTACCAAGGTAAGCATATAACCATGGTGTAAGAGGATTTTTCCCTGTTGACCATTTAGCAACGTAATAACCAAATATTATTTCAAATGGGAAATCAATTAATACAGTTATAGCAAGATCTTCTCTTGCAAACCCCTTTTCAAGTAATTTTAAATTTGTTGCACTTTCATTAGTTAAAAATCCAATTTTGGAAATTAAATGTAAAATTATAAATGTTTTGATTGAAGGTAAACTTAATACTTGAAACATTGAATGATAAACTTCCCTAAGAGCATTTAAACCAGTTCCTTCATTTGTTAATCTATCTTTCCTTCTTGGATCTTCTTCAACTTTATAATAAACATAAATTGTAACCAAGATATATGCAACCCCCCAGAATTGTAAATATGAATTAACAGAAACTAAACCAAAATCTTGTGGTAATGATCTAAGGTATTTATTACAAAAACCTGATGAATTTAAAGCTAAAAACACAGTAAAACTCATGAAATAACCAGTATTTATCCCCACTGTTTGTGCAGTTGATGCATAACTTAAACCTTGTTCACTTAAGATAGTTAAAGCCCAACCATCAACTGCAATATCTTGAGTTGCACAAAGCATAACTAAAGTGAAAAAACCCATTGTAATTTTGGATAAATTTTCTTCGGGGTTTAAAATCAATTGATCCATTATTGTCCCCAAGTATATTAATACAATACCACTAAGGAATTGTACTGGAATGATCCAAGATTTTCTTCTACCCAAATTTCTCCAAAATAATGCATCAACAATAGGTGACCATATTAATTTTAATGAATAAGGATAAGAAGCTAATGAAAATAAAGCAACTTGAGAATAAGAAAGTTGAGATTTTAATAAAAATGGGATAGAACCAAATGCTAGTCCAACAGGTGTACCTTGTAATAAATATAATAATACTAAGATGAAGAATTGAGGACGATCTGATAATGGTAATTGAGGTGTTGAACTTTCAATTTTAACTAGATGAGGTTGTGGAGTTGATTGTTTTGATCTATTATGTAAAGGAAGAAGTTCTATATTTGTGGACTGTGCGATATCCTTGAATTCATTTTCATTAATACTCATGATGTGGATGACTCTTTCTAGAAATATGAACAAGACCAAGATCAATTGTTTCATACTAATGCTTCGAGAATGATAAAACACGTATAGCACCGCGAATTTAGATCTTTGATTCCTCTCGCTAATAGTTGCATATCGATGATCGATTACATAATATATGACATAATCAAGTATCGCTATGAGATACCAATATATTCTACCTCCATTCACGTGACATTAAATTCTGTCATTTTCAAACAGTGTCATTAAATTCAAAATATTTCAAAATTTCCATCAGTTGATTCACAGTTGATTTTAATTTTTTATTTCTCCCACGCAAAATAACAAAATTTAAATTTCTGATGGAAATCTGAATCCCACGATTTTAATCTGATAACGAGAATTAAACAAAGTGATAATTAGAACAATACAATTAACAATGGAAACATATACACAAACACATAATAAACGGACCAATTGAACAACAACAGAACTATCGTAGACACCATCTCAACCCACTAGTTAAACCACTTCAATCATAGTACAATCACCATTTAAAAATAAGATCATGGTTAAGTACCACTGGTCTCTTTCAACTGCCTGACATAAGCAGATTATCGGCCACCACGACTTTTTTTGCAGAAAAACACCACCTAAAAAAATGGTTTTTGGAAAAGGAAAATTTAGGAGATTTGTTTCTTCAAGTTGAATTTGATATTCATAGGTTTTTTAAATCTTTAGTGATCAAAAGCTTTATTCAGGTTATATTTCCCACTCCAATTGTGTGCAAATTTTGTCATTGTCTCATAGCGCTTACATTCTTTATTGGTGTTTGTTAATTTTAAATTGAGATTTCCTAATTATTGCTCCATTAAATATTCATATATCCAAAATAACCTAATAACACAATTATCATAAATATATATATCAAAATGAGTTCAAAATTCGCTCAAGTTGCTAAAACTGCTCAATTAGCTTCCACTTTAACTCAAAGACAAAATTTAGTTAATGCTGGTTTAAAATCTTCATTTGCAAATAATAGATTAAATTCAACAAAAGCTGCAACAACAACATTAACAGTTAGAGATGCAATTAATTCCGCTTTAGCTGAAGAATTAGATCGTGATGAACAAGTTTTCATCATGGGTGAAGAAGTTGCTCAATATAATGGTGCTTATAAAATCACTAGAGGTTTATTAGATAGATTTGGTGAAAAAAGAGTTGTTGATACTCCAATTACTGAAATGGGGTTCACAGGTTTAGCTGTTGGTGCTGCTTTAGCAGGTTTAAAACCAGTTGTTGAATTCATGACTTTTAATTTCGCTATGCAATCTATTGATCAAATTATTAATTCTGCTGCTAAAACTTATTATATGTCTGGTGGTATTCAACAATGTAATATTACATTTAGAGGTCCAAATGGTGCTGCTGCAGGTGTTGCTGCTCAACATTCTCAAGATTATGCCGCTTGGTATGGTTCTATTCCAGGTTTAAAAGTTGTTTCCCCATGGTCTGCTGAAGATCATAGAGGTTTAGTTAAAGCTGCTATTAGAGATCCAAATCCAACAGTTATTTTAGAAAATGAAATTATATATGGTGATTCATTTGAAGTTAGTGAAGAAGTTATGTCACCAGATTTTGTTTTACCAATTGGTAAAGCTAAAATTGAAAGAGAAGGTACTGATATTTCAATTGTTACTCATTCAAGAAATGTTGGTTATGCTTTAGATACTGCTAAAGTTTTAGAAGAACAATATGGTGTTCAAGCTGAAGTTATTAACTTAAGATCTATTAAACCATTAGATGTTCCAACCATTGTTGAATCTGTCAAGAAAACTAACCATTTAATCACTGTTGAAGCTGCCTTCCCAGCTTTTGGTGTTGGTTCAGAAATTGTTGCTCAAGTTGTTGAAAGTGAAGCTTTTGATTATTTAGATGCCCCAGCTGAAAGAGTTACTGGTGCTGAAGTTCCAACTCCTTATGCTAAAGAATTAGAAGATTTTGCTTTCCCAGATCCAGAAACTATCTTAAGAGCTGCTAGAAAAGTTTTATCATTATAAGTTTGAAGAAAAATAAGTAATAATTCATTACAATAAAAAGTTTACATATAGTATAAAAATCTGAAATGAAAAAGTAATATATATATTTATGTCATAGATAAAACCAAATTGTAGTAGTGGTAGTAAATTATAATTTTGATTTTGATGCAAAAACTTCAGCAATTTTACGTCTTTGAATCTTACCAGTTGCAGTCTTTACTAAAGAATCAGCAAAATAAAATTTACTTGGAATTTTAAAACTTGCAATCTTCTCACCAAGGAATTGTTTCAATTCATCAACTGATAATTGTTCACCTTTCTTTAAAACAATAGCTGCATTAACAACTTGTCCATATTTTTCATCAGGAACACCAAATGCAACAGCTTCATCAACTTTAGGATGACTTAATAAAACACCATCTAATTCAATTGGACTAATTTTTTCACCACCTCTATTAATCAATTCTTTAATACGACCTGTCAAGACAAGGAATTTTTCATCATCAAGATAACCTTGATCACCAGTTCTAAAATATCCTTTAGTAAAACTTTCAGCATTTGCTTTATCATTATTTGCATAACCTTTAGTAACATTTGTACCTTTAATACTAACTTCACCAATTTGTCCTTGTGGTAAAACATCACCTTGATCATTCAAAATAACAATTTCAACACCTTGACCTTGTCCTACAGTACCAGGTTTTCTTTTACCAGGTGGTAAATTATTTGAAGTCATTTGATGAGAAGCTTCAGTCATTGCATAAGCTTCTAAAACTGGTGCATTTAATTCTTTTTCTAATTTATGGAAAGTAGTTGGTGCTAATGCTGAAGAACATGATCTAATAAATCTAATTTTTGGTAATGGTGATGGTTTGGCAGTGTTTAATAAGATTAAATGAATTGTTGGAACTGCTGAATACCAAGTTGCACCATATTTAATAAAATCATTCCAAAATTTACCGGCACTGAATTTTGGTGGGATAATAACTGTACCTTGGGTATGTAATGTTGATAACAATGCACCGATTAATCCATGAACATGAAATAAAGGCATAACGATATATGATTTATCATCTGAAGTTAATTTATAAGTTTGAGCAATATTATGCATTGATCTTGATAAATTTGCTTGAGTTAATGGTACGGTTTTTGGACGACCTGTTGTACCTGAAGTATGTAAAATTAAAGCAACATCATCAGGTTTAGCAGTTCCTGGGAATAAAGGTTGATTATTATAATAAATTGGTGAATTAAGTGATGAATACAAAGGGGTTGATGAATTATGATTGAAAACTTCATATTCAACACGTCTTCTTGAATTTTCCCACCAAACTTCGATTAATAAGACATCATGATCTTTTGAACTTTGATAAATTGCACTTTGAGTATCTTTATGAGCACCTTTTGGTAAGATTACAGCTTTTGCATTTAAATCATTCAAATAAAAATCAAATTCATCCTTTTTATAATTTGGATTTAATGGAGCAGCAATACGTGAAGCATTTGTAATAGCTAAGAATGATGAAACTAATTCCAAATTATTAACTAATGAAATTGCAATTGAAGTTTGTGGTTTGGATAATTCATATAATGGAGAATTTGCATTAAAGAATAATGATTGTAAATGACCTGTAATATCACCCAATTCTTTATAAGTTAATTGAGGACCATCAGGGATGATGATTGATTTTTTTTGTGATATATGGATTGTATCAATAAATGTACTCATGGTTGAAATGTGTTATAACTATGATAGAGATAACTTCAATTTCAATAATGAATTAATGATATAGTTTAAATCAAAAGGATTAAAATCAGTTGATGATTTAAATATTGAAATTGCTAAACAGAAAATCTGGAGAGAGGGATTGAATCTCGGACCGACTTTGGAGGTTTTCCGAGCACAGACCGGACCGATACTGAAATATTAGATGCGCGAATTTTTGTAAAAAAGAAATTGAACTTGAAAATGTTTGAATACCAAATATCAGTTCTAGTATTAAGCTTTTGTACAATTTTGTCACTTTCAAACACAAACAGTTTTTTATTTTACCTCTTATATTCTCTATGCTGTGCATTGAATCTGGAATGATTCCTATGGGTATTATCATTGTTCGGTAACCGTACTCCTTGTTAATATTAACAGATCTGAATCACAATTAATTAATTGATGGGCGTATACAAGGAATAGATTGGTCCTAATAATTAATTTGGAGCTAAACAATACACTCCATTCAAGTTAACCAACTACTTGATGAGTTTTTGTCACATAACTCAATACACATTTTTACCAAATATTGACTCAACTGTAGTGATAGACACGGGCTCACTAACCTTTCCTGGTTGGGGTGACGTATACATATATAGAGTTTTCATGAGCGTTTTGATGAGATCTTTCAAATATTCCATCAATCTTAATATCTCATATTATTTTCATTCTAATGGAATACACTCAAGAGAACACTATAAAGAATGCCAATTCCCAGTTTTACTTTCAATTTTCTTTCCACCTTTTAATTGCTTATACACAATTAATTAATTGAACCCCTATAGTAACAAAACCCCCAATATTATAATTAATATTTTTACACAATCACCAATAATCAACAATTACAAAATGAGTACAGATAAAGTTACCAATAACGCAGATACAGAAGATCAATCTTTACTAGAGTTAAGAATCAACAAATTTGTCAAGGTGTTGCTCAAAGTTGTATCTGCTGAAAGAGTTGTCAAACTATTGAAGTACTATTGTCCTTTAGCAGTGGAATTTGAAGTACAACCAACACACGAAGAAATTGCTGATTTTTTGGAAGTTTATTATCTAATGGTATTCAAATGGCATTTCAATAAGAATGTTTCATGGAGAATTAAATCACTTGGGTTTGTCTTGAGATTCCATACTTTGAGAAGAGTTTCTAAATTTTGCAACATCATCTCAGGAAAAGCACGCAACTGTTTCAAGGTGTTGAAAAGAAGTTTCAAAAATTTGACAAAGAAAACTGAGCACTCACAAAAACAACTCATACTCAAAAACCTCTCAGATAAATCAAAAAACCCTGTTACTGGCTTTAAATCTGGGTTCCCTGTGGAAATTTGGATGCTACTTGTGGATTTCGGTCTTGATGCTGGCAATCTTGTTAGAGTTAACACTGAGTTGTTCAGTATTTTTGCACCACGACTCTATAAATCAATCCATATGGATATTGTTCTAAGTTCATTGAATCCTTTGAAATCTAAATATTCACATTATCTAAAGCATGGAGGTAACTATCCTCATCATGCTTCAGATCCATTTAAAATTTTTGAGAGTTACAAAGACTCAACAAAATATGATTATGAATTTTTAGATATTGTTCACAGAGGATGCAATGACAAAGTTGTGACTTCCATGGTTATTAATGATCAAAATGCACATGTTCGTGTTGAGACTAGAGTTATTAGAGAGTTCAAAAAAGTTCAACAATTCTTTGATAATGTGATCATGAATGAAAATTCAATCTTACGTAAATTCAATAAAGAACTTTCAAGTAATGTATTTGTTCTTGATGGGTTTACAAATTTAATTGAAGATTCCAACAAGCTAGGCATCGAATTACAGAAATTGTCACAAAATTCCAACTTGAACGTCATGAGATATGATAGTGATGTCTTGAATTCATTTGGGTATTCTTTTGAATATGAAGATTTCATTCGAGATGACAAGCCATTTGGACCAGGTGATCTTGAATTTATGGAAGAGATGGATGCGGAACAGACTGCAGCTAGTAAACTTCTACCAGAGTGTGGGTTTTATAAAGAATTGCTACACCTAGGTATTCAATTTGATGAAATGAAATCCAATTTTTCGAGTAGAAGAGAGCTTTCAAATTTAAATGACGTTGAATCAGTTAAGGAATTAGACCCTATCAAGAGTTGGAACCAAAGTTTACCAAGATTCTGGACAAAAGATGCAGTTTATCATAAAGGGCCAGAAAATATCGAGGTTGATAAACGTCTATTCTGCACAGAGGAAAATACTCTAAATTTCTTGATAAAGTTTATGGATCCATTCACCTTGAAAGACCATAATAGTGAAAGAAGTACATCATTATTGTTTTCAGCACAAGTGTGTGATGAAAGAGCTAATAATGATACGACACGTCATGGAATGATGAGCATTGTTCCTCAAAACATACTTATAAATAGATTCATGAATTAACTCAATGAGATGCCATACGTATGAAAAATCATTTGTATAATATCTAATTTAATTATAAGCTAATTTAACTATTGGTTTGATCATGAAGGTTCTGTAGTTCGATATTCATATATATATATAACTATATTCGATTTTAATACCCCCGTAAAGAACTTAAATATAGCTTAAATACTACTGATTGAATTATTACAATGATCACCAATATTTATTACTTGCATGTTGTGACTATAATATGAGGTATGATATTAAATATATGGGGAAATATATGGTTACACAATTAAGCAGCTTATTCACAGCTACCCATTAACGTAAGTATACTGGTCTCAAAGCTCACTTATTGTGCATATATATACAAAAAAAAACAACTAAGCCGTAATATTTGGAAACAAGCTCTCAGCTCATGATCAATCTGTGTTGCTTATTATTATTGTTGATAACCGATCTGTATTAATCAGTATAAGTACAATATATATAGGCCTGATGCCAACAGTTGGTTCTAGTGATCTAAAAATCTTCCATATATATATCCCTATATATATATGGTCACATTTCATTCTTTGTGACCATTATGTGATTCCAATATCGTTGAGGGCGTTATATATTATATTATAGTACTAATGTGTCAAGTCGGATATTAACGGCGGTAATTGTGCTTCATACATATAATGTGATGATTACCGAATTCAAAACGGGAAATTACCCAGATCTTGTCTTTGTGATATCTACAGTATGTAATATGGTGCTCCAAAACTTTAAATTCAATGATTTTGAAAAAGATAATTTGCCACAGGAATTCATGATGTTCTTTCAAAACTTCAAATAGATATCCCATCAACATTGGTTCTTTACCGCTGTGGACGTTAATCATCATGGCCAAACATAATTCCAAAAGGAACAGTTCCGAATCTCAAAGATCATCATATCATGGAGAACCAAATTTTGGTGCTGCTCAAGATAAAGAGAATAAATTAAGCGCTGTTGAGTTCATACAAGAATCACCTACCAAAGCATCTGAAATATTGAGTCGCAGATCTTCTATCTTAAAGTTTTTTGGCAAAAGTACAAGTGAAGGGAACTCAACATTAAAGTCTTCAAGTCCAAAGAACAAGGTTGATGAAGAAAAAAAATCAGAAGATTTGATTACAGAAAATTTTGACCCACAATCACCATTAACAGGTAAAGATGATTCGTTGAGAAAGAAAAATTCAATCATTGATAGGACAAAAAAAGCAGTAAAAGGTTCCCCAATTTACGAAAGCATCTCACAGCTTTTTGAATCAGTTAGAATTGGAACAACTTCAAAGACTTCAAGTCCAAAAGTCAAAGAATCAAATGTGAATTTTGATGAAGTTTCAGAGACATCCCGAAACCAAGGTAAAGAAGTTGAAGCAGTGAAAGGTTCTCCTAAGCTCTTTGAATCAGTTAGAATTGGAACAACTTCAAAGACTTCAAGTCCAAAAGTCAAAGAATTAAATGTGAATTTTGATGAAGTTTCAGAGACATCCCCAAACCAGGTTAAAGAAGTTGATAATAAAGGTGTGCCAATTAAGAAGAAAGAATCAAAAAGATTTAAACAATTGAAAGCGGATTATGAGGCAATTCAAGTTACACCATCCAGTGATACACAAACCAGACAACAAAAGACGTTGAATTTCCTCATTATGAATGAGTACGCTTCAAGGTATGAGCCCGATAAGGTAGATAACACTAAAGATCAGTTTACGTGGTTAAGACCTAAATCAAATGAACACATAAATAATGAAGATGAATTAGTTAATAACAATAATGTTCATAAAATTGTTAAAAATCCAAACAATCTGACAGTGAGAACTTCCAATACTCAAAAAGAATCCAAAGAAATGAAACAAGCAATAATCATTTTCAAGCAGAAAATTGATATTATTGACTCTATAGTAAAACCAAATGCTGAAAATCCAACTGTGACACGTCGTATTCTAAAAGGAATGAAGATTAAAAGGTTTTCATCTGAAAAACAAAAGAAAGAAACCCTTCAACAAGCGGCAGCTAAGTCCATGGAAGATGTTGTACTAGATCCAAAAATGGATTACATAAATGTTTTGGATTGCCTTACAGATTTAATTGGTCGCTACCATTCCTCTGGAGAAAAACCTGAGTAAAGTTCATTAATCACATGAAACCATTAAGATATAATGAATGACTGAATTTTTGAATTTGATTATATTGTGTGCTAGATAGAATTTGAAAGAGCTTAAATATATGGTATGTTGATTAATTTAAAAAAATATTGAAACTTGTAGGTCAATTTTGAAAAGCGATTGAGCAAACGACCAGGAAACTAGAGTACGATCACAAAGATGAATGAAATATTCACATTTATATTGCTTCAAAATTTAAACAAAATTTAAACACCATATAGGACCCCGATTAAAATGATAAATGTAACTAAAAAGCCAGCACTTGATTTAATTGACACTATATCAAATACCAACCAAATGTTTAAGTTTTAAGTGTCTTTCGCCAATATGAAATACAACCTGGTATACCTCAGTAACAAAAATTTTTCAGGGTCCAAGTGCAGTTCTTTTGAAAATTCCTTTGATTCATTACAACGTTCTTCATCCAAGAAGAAAACCATTATCACACGATATCACTTAAATTGGATAAACCATCATCCATGTATGAAATCATCTACTCAATTTCCATCTCCCTAATCTATGACTATTATTAGTATTAGCAGCCAAAGTATTCATAATCCTTTTATTACTGGTATCAGGGATAACAATATTCCCAGTACTAACATCTAATTTACCTCTTTTGATATTGTGAAACATAACACCTTCTTGTTGTAATGAAGCAGCAGCATTTGATAATGCAGATTTTGGTCTTGGATTAATTGGATTTGATAACAGTCTTGGTGGTACTTTAACCCAACCTCTTCTTTTAGGTTTAGAATCTTCTTCGACTTCATCTGGAACTCCTGTAAATCTAACTTTTTTGATTATTGGTCTTGGTTCCTCTTCATCATCTTCATCAAGATTATCAATCTCCATTGAATCTTCTAATTTCATTGTACGATTTGATATTGGGGATTGAATTCCAGGATCTAGAGTATTCTCAGATGATTCACTTGTGCTTTCATTACTTAGCTCTGGAACACCAAGATTCTGTGATTGAGTTGATGTATTGACCTTTTTACCATTTGTTTTACCATTTGCTAATGCAGATTTCAATGGTCTTTTCAATTTACTTGGTGATTCATCCAATGATAATTCATTAATATTTGGTAAATCTTTGATATTGAATCTTGATGGCGAAGGACTTCTTGAGTTTCTTGGTCCATTTGATTTCACTTGTAAATGTCTTTGTTTCTCCTCCAGATGTTGTTCATGATTAACTTCAGATTTTGATTTTAATGAAGAATGTCTTTCATTTTTCAAAGCAGCAGCACCGGCAGCAGCAGCCAACAATGAGTTATTATGTTCGGTAGATGGTAATGAACTTTGTAATGATTGAGAACGACGTCTACCAGCAACTGGTTGTGACCCATTTCCAGCAGCAGAACCATTCAATGGAGATGTAGTAGCACTTATGCTATTATTAACTTTTGGTGGTGTACCAGACCCCGAAGCAGTAGCAGCGGCTTGTCTTCTTAATTGAGTTCTAATATCAAATGCTGGACTTGACATGTATATAGAAGCTGGTCTTTTACTTTTTAAAGATGATGAACGACTTAGGTTTGTTGGTGATATTAAATGTGGACTTGATATAGAATCTGTACGTGAAAGAGCATTCAATGATGAGTTACTTGATGCTGAACTTATAGAACTATTACTATTGGACCTTATTCTTGTTGCTGGAGCTGTACTGTTGGTGTTGGTATTTCTTTGGATTGAACCTCTTCTTGAAACATTTGGTGAATTATCACGACTGTTTGATAGTTCTTGTCTCAGTTGTCTTTCACGCTCTTCAAACTTTCTCTTTGTAATTTGGTCTTCTTTGAGTTGTTGTTCTTTTAGTTGTTTTTCTTTCAATGCTCTTTCTTCTGCAGCTTGTCTCTCACGTTCTCTTTGTTGTTTGGCAATATTTTCCTGTGCTAGCTTCTCCTTTTCAGGATTAAACAGTACTTCAACTTTTTTCTTTGAGTCTGCTGGTGATGAAGAGGAGTTTGGTGATAGTAATGCTCTTTGTTGTTTTTCTCTTTGTTTTTGTTCTTGTTCAATTTTGACTAGTTTAGCCTCAGCTAATTCCCAATTTTTCAAAAGACCCAAGATCACAGCAGAGAAATTCGAGATTAATGTAATGGACTGTATCAGTAAATTAGTCAACTCAACAATAGATTGTGTTCTCAAATGTGTGTAGGAACCTTGTCTTGTAAATTTAGCCAATGTTGTCATTAATTGATGATTCTTCCTTGTGTTTTTCAAATATTCATCAGAATTTTGTAAAGATAGCTCTAGTTTGACATTATTGTGTAATATCTTCGGATTATGTAAATGTTCATCATATGGTAAATATAAATCTCTACCAAATTTTCTCAAGATGGTGTATAATTCACTTAATTTAACAAAACATGCAAATATTCTATGTGTTGTATATGACCAATGTGGTAATTTCTTGATGACATTATCATTTGGTTTTGACTTGAATTGTTTCAATTGTTCAAGATAATCTTTAATCAATTTAATACTCTTGTTAACAGAATCAATAACTAATGGAACTTTCTTGAAATGAAAATTATCAAATTCAGAAGCTTCAACAATCAATTTAGGAAAAACGTTCAGTTCTAGTGGATCAAGCAAATCTTTGAAAAATTCAACTTCTAATGGGACTGGTTTGTTATTTGAACCTGGTAATCTATTAGCATCTCTTTCCACACAAGCTTGTTGTAACTTCTTTTCATAAATCAGTCCTGCATTCTCCACCAGACTCAGTAGTTCATTCAATAAATGTCTTGCATTATCATCATATTTTAGTTTTAATGCTTCTTGATCTTCTAATTCGAAATTCAAAGCAATTGTATTTGCTAAAGCGGCAACTTTCCTCTGTGCACCAATAGAAGTTAATTTAGACAACTGATCAACTCTTTTGGTCAAAGTATCACTAACATTAAATAATGGGCCCATCAAAGAAATCATATAATGTATTATTGGAACAAGATGATGATTCACCCGTAGTTTGATTTGAATTGATTTGATATGTTTAATTAATGCTTCAATTTTGATAATGGCGTATTGATACTCGATGATTTTGGCATCATATGAATCTAGGTAAACACCACCTTTTATCACTGGCGTAGATGCAGCAGCAGCGGCTTTGGCTGAGTTCATGTTTAAATAGCTATTCTTTAAGTTGGTTCTATAGTTTAGAATACTAGGGCTCTTGATGTGCTTTTGGCGTTTCAGATAACTGTTTCAGGGTTTATTCAGTATTCCAGGGATCTCAACCAAACAAAATGGACTAAGCCTCTAACTATTGGATTTATTATGATCAAAACACAAGTCCAAAGAACAATATATCTGACTAAAGATCTTAACAAAAATAACTTCCAATGTGTTTCACAATATCTCAAAACCTTCTCAAAGACCCATAATTTTGGTTTTTCTTGATGTGGGTTACTTAAAATACTAATAATTCGCGATCTGATAATCATTATTATGGGACACATACAAATAAACTTCATCATTCTAAAATTAAATTCTTCTAGTTCATTATCATTAATTATATATGTATATAGGGTTTTTATGTACATGCTACTCTATTTTTCTTTTGTTTCATTTATTCTTATCCTCAATCAACCATTTCCAAACAACATCTCTTTGTTTCTGATCTCCTACGATTCTTTTCCTTCTAAATTGTTTTAATCGTTGCAAGAATGATGGTTTAGCATTATGAGTTCTTGGAACATAAGGTCTTGAAATCCTTGGTGCAACTGATGCCTTAGCACCTGCTTTTGTAGATGGTGCCATTAAAGTTAATTTTTGAACTTGTCTTAAAGTTTTAAAATTTGCTGATGTTACTATTAATGCAATAATTATTGAAATCCCAACAACACCACCAAATCCTAAATTTGATTCTTCAATGAAATTTTTTAAATTCATACCATAAAAAGCTGGTAATAAAGTGGCAACTGTGAAACCTAGGGTATAAATTGTAACTTTTAATTCGAAAACCATTAATGAATTTCTATTTGCATCCAAAATAATATTAACAATTTCTTCTGTGGATTTAATATCATTAATCAACGATTCTGATTGTTGGACAAATTCATCACATTGTTTATAATAAGCTTCTAACAACATTTCCACTTCACCATAATCAGTACGAGTTTCCGGTATAGGAGTACCTGGTTCTTTAACTTTAGTAGATTCTAATTTTTCAGTTAAATACATCCCACTTAAATCATCATCATTTTCTAATAATTCATCCAAGACATTTCTGATTAATAAAGCTTTTTGATAAAATGTGGTTAATGCTTTTGATTTAATCAATAAATCTCTTAATTTATCACGATCAATTTCATCTTCTAATTCAGCTAATATTAACCCACAAACATTTAAATGATGATGTAATTCTGTTTCCAAACATGTCATAACATTAATCAAAATAGATTCTAAAGCTCTATGTTCATATTGTTGAATCCATCCAGTACTTGGAGCTTTTAATTTGGATTCTAAATCATAAACGAAAAGACCTAATCTTAAAGCCGCAGATGGATTACTTGTATCGAAAATCATAACTTTATCAGCTTCAACCAAGGCTTTGATATGTAATAAATTGACCAAGATACAATTATCTCGTATCACAATAGATGGAATGATATCAATTTGAGAAGTATCAATTTTTCTTAAATCTCTTGGATAAAGACCATGTTCTTGTAAAAATTTCATCTTGGGGAAATGTTTTGATACAGCAGTGACATTCCCTTTCAAATCAAACACAGTACAACTGACATATGAATCATTAGGAGTTATTGGTTTCACGATCTTGGTTATATCAGGTGGATGATCTGTTATATGAAGATTATTTGAAGATGGTGGCTCAGGTAATTTTAAATTATTTTTGGGAAGTTGTTTTCTTATTTGTGATGATTTTTGAATAAATATGGATGATGATGTATGGAAATTTGTTATTCTTGAAAGAATTGGTGATGCCAGTTTATAGGGACATGTTGATGATCTTTTAAGGATGGAACAGAACATTGAGTTCTGTCTTTAATTATGTGTGGTGATAAATAGCAGTGATAAATAGTATGATTTTGAATGGAATTCTTTGTGTGTTTTCTTCGATGAATTAAGCAATGCAAGGGTTCCTAAGCGATAGATCTATAACTCGACCAATATTCTTGTGAATATATTTTGTTTTTGTTGTAAAATACTTTAAATTACCTTGCTATTACTAAATCTTTTAAACAGCCATATGCTTGATTTTTTGATTACTCGAACAAATTTTCCATGGTTCCGGACACACATTATCAGTACTTTATCAATATAAACAAAACTACAAATTTAAAATTAAACAAAAACTTTACTTTATATTATATTAAAAGGAGGAAAAAGATAGTAAATGTACTAGAACAAAATGAAGTAGTATCTAATCAAAGAATTTTCTTGATGGTGATTGACCGAAAACAGATAATCTAATAGCTGGCAATGATTCTTCAGATAATAATTTTAATCTTTCTTCTAAAGTATTATTAATTTCAATTTTACCAGTTGAATTTGTCAAGATAACACCACCTGCCAAGTCATCACTCAAGTAATCTTCTTCATCAATTTGAATATCAACTTGGAATTTTGCCTTTTTTTCAAAAGCTTCTTGAGCTTCTTTGATTGCTTCTTTTGTTATTTCAACATCTTGTTTACGAACTTTAACAGTAACAAATTTTTCTAATAATGATAAGACACCTTCTTCAATTAAACCAACCAAGACAGGTTTATATTCTTCTTTATTAGAACTGATTTTTTTCAATTGTTTTTCAGTTTCTTGAAATATATCATCTAAAACTTTTTCTCTTGTTGATAAAACCTTTAATCTTGTTTTATTTGCAATAGTAGATTTGGTAATTTGTTGAGCTAAATCAGCCTTTTTGGTTTTTTGTTTATATAATTCATCAATTGCTTTGGTTTCATTACGAACAATTGCAGCTTTTTCAATTTCATATTCTTCATCAGCCTAATAAAAGAATGTTAGTACTGCAATCATATATAAATACACATTGAACGAAAACATACCTTTAATTGAATTTCTTTAGCTTTTTCTTCAGCTTCCTTTCTGATGAAGGCTTCCATTTTAGTTAATTCATTTTGTACCTAGATAAACCCAGTTAGTAATTGATTCAACACCAACATGATAACGATACGTGGGTAATAAACATATCATAGATAGTCTTGTACACCACGTAAAACGGACCCTCAAAGGAAGCAAAAGAATGCCAAAACACATACTTGGTTATCACTTAAGGCACGAGCAGACATTGTGGTATATGATTGAGTTGAACTAGTCTACTGAATGTGGTTCCACTTGTATTCGAAATACCTGAATCTACTTTAATCTGCCTCGTTTTTCCAAAAGGGAGTACATTTGAATTTGGCTGCCAGTGCGAGATTCGCGACATTCGCGGGAAATAGTTGTGCATAAGAATTGCTTTGTAGATTGTTGGTACAGTTATGCCATGGAGTTGGGAAACATAAAGTCAGTGGTTTTACAAGAAGAAATGATTTAAAATTTGGTTATTATACAGTGTCATATTGATACATGATTGAGCCATACTGATCCATTACGCTCTATTTAATGCAATAACGTGAATTTTCTACCCCTTATTGTTGATTGTGGTCATATATTATGAAACATTCGGATTTGTGATTTCTTATACATTGATATTTATCAGCAGTTATAAACAGTGTCATTTCGTTTACTATGAATTATGAATGAGTTATATTGAAGTATACAATAATGTCGTTGGCAAATACACTCTACAACAATCAATTCATCAGTTATATATATTGATATTCGTATTGCAAGAGCTTTAAATCAGGAGAAATGAAATTGGAATTAAAGCATATTACCAATTAAATAAATCAACATTATCATTCATGCTTTGGCTTCTTAGATTTTGATACATCGTCCAACAAACTCTCAAGTATGGATAAGCACCCAGAATCACCTTCATTTTCATTCCCAAAAGTTGAATTATCAAAGTTGGTTAAGTAGATTTTTCCTTTGGATAAAACAATATCTGATTCAGCAATGTCATTTAATTGGATACCAGCTAAATTCAACAAATTAACTTGTTCAATAGCTTGCTCATAGTGTTGTTTTGTTGAAGGTCTACTTGTAACATGTTCATGAATTATAAATTTCCCAGCATAATAAGAGAAATCTTTGATCTTTAATTTAATATTACCAGTTTTGAAATGTGTCAACACATTTATTTTGGATCCATTCAGTTGATTGAACCTTTTGATTATATCATATGCCTTCACTTGATTCTTATACATATCCATGAACAAATTTTGAGCTTCTTTCAAACCTATTGCATCACCTTCAGTATAATTTTGAATTTGATATCTAGTTGGATCATATATGGAAATAACAACAGGTTCTTCATCATTGGTTTTAATTGATTTGACATTTAACAACCTTTTGCAGAGTGCTTTAGAAACAAGTAAAATTTGAGGACCTTTACCAGGACCATTCTGAAATAATGAAATATGATTTCCATCATATATATCTGGTGCATAATCAATCTCATATGATGGATAGTTTTTGGATTCACTAAAATGGTGGTTAACCCAGTTTAACAAGGTGTGAACGAAATCAACATTGCTTTTCAAGCATATCTCTTTAAGCCTTTGAATTTTGGAGATCTTTCTTTTATAATCTAATTTTGAAAAATTTCTTACTTCATCATCTAACATTCCTAAAATTGAAGCTTTTGCAGTGACACCACTTTTTGTTATATCAACCAATTTAAAAGACATTGGAATTTTGGTACCTGGCTTGTCTGGATGTGTTAAGAATTCTTCAAGTTGGTTGTTGAAGTTAATCTTCATGAGTATAAAACTATAACCATCCGTCAAACATGAAATTAAAAAATTTCCTGATATGATTTGGCTAAGTATTTGAAGAAAATACCATTTGAAGTCGGCCATTCCAATTCGTGAAAACACCTTTATGGAGTTGAATCGTTTCAGCTCAACGTTCATTATATTATAGAGCAAATTTGAATCAGCAGGCTTGAAAACTATTGTTATATCTGGATATGTTTGAAAAGTTTCTTCACATAATCTAAAGTCACCACTTGGAAGGTTTTTTAATTTTTCCATCTTCAGGTATTCTATCTTTTGTACAGCTGCTCTCAACTCACAACCATCTTCATTCAATAGATTATTGTACAAAAATACTATAATTGGGTTCAAAAGTTTTGCTAAGATCCATTTAGCGGTTTCCCCTTCGTTGAACGTAACTAAAGCGGCCTCTTCTAAATTAATATAAGTTTCATTGCCAAATTTTAAAATTAGATCATCAATAACATCATCATCTAAAGTCCCCAATTTCTTTCTAATTTCATGCAAAATGAGTCTAAATCTATTTTCAAAATAGATATCTTCTAGTTTTGTGAAAACCACTTTATCGTAGATATGTTGATTCAGAGAAGCTCTTGCAACTGAATTTTTTGATGGGAGGCTATTAGTGTGTTTTCTCTCCCAAAGAGCTTTGAAACCAGGGGCAGACACCAATCCAAGAGAAGGAAATAAAAGCACAGCTCTAGAAATACAAAGGACCCCTAATATCTTCTCATAATTTCCTGAACGAAGACTTAATCTTTTAACATCTGGAATCAACACATGCTTTTCAAAGTTTATGAGAGCATCCCGGACTTGAAATGGACTAGTTGAAGTGGAAAGTTCCACTTTGAAATATTTTCTCAATAGCTCAATGTAACCTTGTATAACAGTTTCATCATCATTTAGTAAATCAGAAATTTGTATATATGAAATTGCATCCTCTTGATTGGCCTTGCTAATGGATGAAGCCATGATTTAAATGATGTAAAACTCAATAAGCGCCTTCAATTTGATTTATCTAGGATGTTTGCATTAATGAATAACTCTAGTGATACTAATATATATAAGATCTTTAAAATTCTTATAACTTATATAATAACGATAGAAATTACACAAAACCTTCAATTAATATCGGTGCTATAGCAACTCAACTATTGAAAAATTTGAGCATTTAGAACTTAACAGCAGATATTCAAGTGATAATTTCAAAGATTGACAATTAATTCTCTTTAATTAAAACGACGTAAATCTGTGTCTTTATCTCCTAGTAATTGAGCTATACGATTTTAGGCACATCAGTTGAGAATTTATTACTAGATTTCATCAAGCAGCTTGACTGATTTTTAGATCAACGTTGAATAATATTTACCTCAACATATACAACTGTTGTACACTAGAAGTGTAAACAATCATGTCCACTCTAAATTCTGGATCGAATACAACGTGAGTAATAAAACATAGGCTGCAGTAAAGTGTCACAAATTAACAGTAACTGGGGAAACTTATCTTTTGTGTGAACTTTAAAGTTTAAAAAACTATGGTAACCAGTACCCATTTACCCGGTGTTGATACTGTAACACTTTAGATCACGTGTAGAAAGCTGTAATCACGTGCTCTATTGAGTTAGGGCTTTTGATCCTTGAACGATAAGGACTTGGAAACTGTTGTGCTTGAGGACCTGCTAGAGTTTTCATGTCATTGATTAGTATGATGCTTAATATTTATTTAAGAGCTCATAACGAACCCCTATTTCACTCAATTTATAACCCGATTGTGTGACTTATTTTACCTTCTTATTGTTGAGTGCAATGTTATGATGTGCCTCTTACCACGTATAGTTTTTATCTTTTTTTCATATAGTAAACAGTGAAAAACTAATTAGATTTATGATAAATATTTATCAGCAAAGTTATAAACAATTACTTTTTCGTTTGCTATTGGAATTATCAGTCGGTGGTATTTGAGGTAGTTAGGCCTGTGCTGTTCCATATTACTATACTATCGACTTACGTGTGAAAAGTCAGACTTCAAATAGTATACATTCAACTTTAATTGCTTACTCATCTCAATAAAGATATCAGTATGATAAGGAGACGTATAATACCCAGAATAAAAGTCATAAAACCTCAGTTTCAAACCCATAATGCTATTAATAATGCTATTAATCACCAAATACGGCTAAAAGCAACAACTTCTGAAAACAAACCCGAAGAAGAGCCAAGAATCAATCCAGTTGGTATTCAACATTTGTCAAAAGGTATATATAATCAATTATTCCCAGAAAAATCAATAAATTCCAGACCATCAGATTCTGATAAAAAATTAATTGAATTATCACAAGATTATTTAAAACATCATTCGTTGCTTGGTAAGAAAACTGCAATTTCTAAACCTATAGATTTTGATTTACCAGAATTACAAGGTAATAATCTTGATGAACATTTCAAAAGAATTGCTTTATATTCTTCTCAGGATTATTTAGAAAATGCTAAACACTTTGCTCAAATTGGCTCTACACCTAAACCACCAACAAATTGGGTTTTCAAATCAGGTTGGACCAAGTATCCAACTGATGGTACTAAACCTCACAGTGTTGATTTCCCAGATGAAAAAGCTTTAATATTTGATGTGGAGACTTTATATAAAGTTTCAAATTTTGCAATAATGGCAACTGCAGTGTCTGAAAATGCATGGTATGGTTGGATAAGTCCTGTATTAACAGGTGAATCACAAGAATTTGATCATTTAATCCCATTTGATACTTTAAATAAACCAAGATTATTAATTGGTCATAATGTTGGTTATGATAGAGCTCGTATAAAAGAAGAATATAATTTAAAAGAAACTAAAGCATTCTTTTTGGATACAATGTCTCTTCATATCGCTGCATCGGGGATGTGTTCAAGACAAAGACCAACTTGGATGTATCATAATAAACAACGGAATGAATCTGGTGAATTTGCTGAAGATATTAGAAAATTTGAAATTGCTGATCCTTGGGTTGATGAAAGTGCACCAAATTCTTTAGCTGCCGTGGCAAAGTTTTATTGTGATATGACATTAGATAAAGATGTAAGAGATTCATTTGCAGGTGATGATATTACATTAATTAGAGAAAATTTCCAAAATTTAATGAATTATTGTGCTAATGATGTTGCAACAACTTATAAAATCTATACTCAAGTACTTCCAGAATTTTTAAAAGTTTGTCCACATCCTGTTTCATTTGCTGCTTTAAGATTTATGGGTGCAGGTATTTTAACAACAAATAAAGATTGGGAAAAATATCTTAAAGCTGCAGAGACATTATATCAAGAGGCAAAAGCTAAAGTTCATCAACATCTTGTTTCTTTAGTTAATAAAGCATTGAAATTAAAAGATAAACCTAAAGTTATAGAAAAAGATCCTTGGTTAAGTCAATTAGATTGGACTATTTATGAACAAAAATTTAGAAAAGATGGACAACCTTACAAAAACCAAAAATTAGCAGGTTATCCAGAATGGTATCGTGATATGTATATTCCAAGCACAGGTAAATTGAACTTATCTACAAGATCACGTATTACTCCAATCTTATTCAAATTAACATGGGAAGGTTTCCCCGTGGTATGGAGTGATGTTTATGGCTGGTGTTTTAGAGCTGATGTGGATAAATATGATGAAATGATTGCTAAAACTTATTTATTTATTAAAAATTTCACAGTCAAGAAACGTACAGAGGAAGAAGAGGAAGAAATGAAATTTAATAATAATGTTAATGATATTGATATCTTTGGTTCATTAAATATTAATGAAAAACGAGAATCTCCTAAAAAGGATAAACCAGCACCAACTGATCAATATGCATATTTCAAAATCCCAAATAATGCAGGTCCAGAAGCAAGAACTGCTTTATTATTAGCCAAATCATTTGCTTCATCATTTGAAAAGGGAATTTTAAGTTCAGAATCAGCATTTGCCAAAGAAGCATTAGATATCAATGCAAGTTGTAGCTATTGGATAAGTTCAAGAGAAAGAATCATGAATCAATTTGTTTATCATAAAACAAAAGGATATAGTATAATTTTACCACAATTATTAACAATGGGTACAATTACAAGAAGAGCTGTGGAGAAAACTTGGTTAACTGCATCAAATGCCAAAAAAACACGTATTGGTTCAGAATTAAAATCTAAAATTAAAGCACCTAAGGGTTATTGTATTGTTGGTGCAGATGTTGATTCTGAAGAACTTTGGATCGCTTCATTGGTCGGTGATTCAATGTTTAAATTACATGGTGGTACTGCAATTGGTTGGATGACTTTAGAAGGTACTAAGAATGAAGGAACTGATTTACATTCTAAAACTGCAAGTATTCTAGGGATTTCTCGTAATGAAGCTAAAATTTTCAATTATGGTAGAATTTATGGTGCAGGTTTAAAATTTGCCACTAGATTATTAAAACAATTTAATCCAAAATTAACTGATAAAGAATGTGAAGTAAGAGCTAAGAATTTATATAATTCTACAAAAGGGCAATCATTGAAAATTTATAAAAATGATGATAAAGGTACCAGAATATGGGTTGGTGGGACAGAATCCATATTATTCAATCAATTAGAAAGTATTGCAGAACAAGATAATCCTAAAACTCCAGTGTTAGGTGCGGGTATTACTAAAGCTTTAATGAAGAAAAACTTGAAAAAAAATAGTTTCTTACCATCAAGAGTTAATTGGGCTATTCAATCTTCAGGTGTTGATTATTTACATTTATTATGTGTTTCAATGAATTATTTAATCAACAAATATAAAATTAATGCAAGATTAAGTCTTAGTGTTCATGATGAAATTAGATACTTGGTAAAAGAAAAGGATAAATATAGAGCTGCTATGGCATTACAAATTAGTAATCTTTGGACAAGAGGTATATTTTGTGAAAGATTAGGTATTAGTGATGTTCCACAATCTTGTGCATTTTTTTCAGCTGTTGATATTGATCATGTTTTAAGAAAAGAAGTTGATATGGATTGTATTACACCTTCAAACAAAATACCAATTCCACCTGGTGAATCTTTAGATATTAATCAATTATTAGATAAACCTGAATCTGAATTAGGAGAAGCTAAAGATTTAAAACTTGAAAAAATTGAACTTGTCAAGAATGTGGATATGTTGAAGCATAAGAAGAAAATGAAAACTTGGAATGATATTGATGATTTTTCATTAGAAAATCCAGTTTGGAAAGAAACTTATCTAAGATTACAAATTGCACAATCTGAAGAAGAATTTAAAAAAATTTGGAGTGGTTATAGAAGATACCTTAGAGAAGTCAAACAAGGATCAAGAAATGAATATGACTTTATGGAACCATCATTTAAAGCACCAATAAACCCTAAACCAAAGCAAAAGAAGATTTCAAAACAAAAGATTTCAGCAAATGCAATTGATGCATTTTTCCAAAATTCCAATGAAGCAGAAAAAAAGAAGAAACCAACCAATGATAGATATACATCACCTAATGCATCTGTATCAAAACCATCAAAGACTTATGACTATGATTATGATTATTTTGATTTTGGATCACCTCCTACAGATATCAAAACTAAGCCAAATAACATCAGACCAAAACCTAAACCATCTATTGATCCTTACTATTACAACTACGACTTCCCAGACTATGGACAATATAATTAAATATTTATAGAATGTATTATATACTATTTATGAACTTATGATTTAAAACTAAATAATGTAGTACTTATAGGCCAAATACCGAATGGTTAAACAGCCCTGACTTAAATCCGCACGGTTCATAAAAAAGGTGCCCGCGAATTTCTTGTTTTTCGAGAAAGTGTTAAATTTTTAAAAAGAAGAAATCTGGAATCTGTAAAGGCCCTTTTGGACATTAAGTTTCTTAAAACGAACAGCTCATCTCTGGAAGAGGCTATTAAATTGCTTAGGTAGTAAACAAGGGAGAACCGCTATAGATCAGGTATCTCTTTTTGCTCTTGTTCAATTCGTGACTCAGGAAGTGTTTTCAATTCAAAAAAATTGTGTTTTTTAGGTTACTTTTTTTTATAAAAAAGGATTGTGTCTTCAAGGAAAGGTAATAAATTTCACTGTGTGTTTTGAAGTCTTTTTTTGTTTTCTGGTTTTAAAATAGAATAAGACTTAGTACTTCACAAAGAGTAATATTTCATTGATTGAATTGATACTCTTTTTATTCTTATTTCGGTCGGTTTTGTCTCTATATTAAAGGTGTCAATCAATTCTTCATCATGTCAAACCCTAGTCAAGAACAGACTGAACAAGCCATCGAGGAATCAATCCTCAATACAATCAGTTCACCATCTACCGAGAGAGCTCAACCAGGTGCAGTGCTATTATCACCTCAAGCTAAATCCAAAATTCTTTCACCTGAACCATTCAAACCTGGTTTTGGACAATCAAATACTATAACATCACCAGGTACAAATTCATCTATGGCATTATTATCACCCCCAGCATCTCGTTATGCATTTGAACCACAAGATACCATGTCACCATTATTAAACCCTCAACCAAATTTTGGGAATGTTAGACCTTTAAGTGCTCAAGATTTTAGTTATAATAATGATGCATTCTTGAATAATCGTCCATTAAGTGCACAGGGTTTCAATTCATCAAATCATCCACTAAATGTCCCAGAGAGACCTTTAAGTTCTATGGAAATTGATTCAATCACTTTCAAAAATGATGTTGCAAATTTGATTAGTTGGATTAATACATTAAATTCAAATCAATATAGAACTGTTATTGATAATTTAATCCCTACATTACCTGATGATATTTTATCATATACTAAAACTAAAATTGATGAAGCACAAAATCAAAGATATGTTAGCTCTCCAACTCAATCATCATTTTTGTTTCAATCTTCAAATCAAGAACCATTAACTTTAGATGCTGTTTTAAATAGTGGTTCAAATCAACAACCAACTTTAAGTCAACCTCAACCACAATCTGCTTCACAACCATGGTCACCAAACCAAGGTCCAAACATTCAAAGAGCATTTTCACCAAATTTCACTTCAACATTTGATAGAACTTATTTGAATGATTTAAGTAATAATAGACCAAGATCTGCTGATCCTTATAGTTCCAAAATTTTCAATAGAAATAATAATATTCAAAATTTATCAGGTTTAGGAAATGATTGGGAAACAACAAATACACCATCAAAGAGCAGGACCTCTAGATTTGATTTAGATGAACCTAATCCATCATCACAAGAATCATCTAATTCTCAACATCATCAAAATCAAAATCAAAATCAACAACAAGGTGCATTTGATATCACCAATTTAGCACAACAATTAACTCAAACACCAATCAAATATAATGATTATAATAATAGTAATGCATTAAAATTATCTGCATTATCCACAATTAATAGTCGAGCACAATTAGATTCTAATAAAAAAAGATTAAATACACCAGGTTCATTACCACAACAAGGTCAAACATCCACAGGACAAGATGAAAGAGGAAGATCTATAAATAATGGTAATGGATTTCAAACTGTTGCAGGACAAAGATTTTTCAATCAACATCAAGATGAAAATTATCAAAATAGAAATTCAATGTCTGTACCTCCACCACAACGTAATATAAACTATTATGATAATGTTACAATGTCACCTTCTGTTAATAGGGTCTTAAATAAACAAAGGTCACAAACTAGAATGAATCATCAAGGTTTTAATCAAGGTGATGATGGATTATCAAGAATTGCAAGTTTAAATAATGCTACTAAGAATTTATCATTGAATGATAATCATAATCTTGGTGGTTCACAATCTGAATTTTCAACACCATATAAACAAATTCCAAAAGATCAACAACAAACACCAAGATCACCTGCAATAAACCCAAAACAAATCACAAGTATTAAATTATTAGCTGATGTTCCAGCTTGGTTAAAAGCTCTTAGATTACATAAATATACACCAGCTTTACAATCGATCCATTGGAAAGAGTTGATTTATCTTGATGATAAAGAATTAGAAGCAAAAGGTGTTTCAGCAATGGGAGCAAGAGGGAAATTATTAAAAGCTTTTGAAATTGTTAAAAATTCATATGAAAAAGGTGAGATTAAAGAATAGATTCTATAGATATTTATCATTTGATCATGATATATCCACTTATATTATCAAAATGCCTTTTTTCCCGTATTTTAAAATTAATTTAATAGATATACATTTTAGTTCTTTTTACTTATATAAAATTAAAGTTTTAAATTTAAGGTTGGCGTAGTTATACCAACTACATAGTTACAATAGTGTTACAGTATATTTGTTTCCATGGTAACAAAGTGACTCGCGCTTAAATTTTATGTGTAACTCGCGCTTTTAAGTTTTCGATTGCGATTTAAAGTTGGCGTGCAATTTTTGGATAATTTGAAGATCTTTTTAATTTGGATGCACATTTGCAGTAGAATCGAATTAGACGAGAATTCAACTGTCAAGTGTCTGAGAGAAGAACGATCATGTTGTGTATAAGTAGAACATGAAGTGTTGTTGGTTTGTTCAATTGGTGGGTATTCTGATGCTGATTGTTGTGTTTACACTAAAAATAGCGTGCACAATGTTCAATCTGGTGTGCCTTTGAGATCTCAGATTCGAGTTTTGTTTACATTTCGGTTCAACTTCGCTTGTTTGAATTTGACAAGCACCTGGATTTCAATTGCTGAGAATTTGGATTTTGAGGATCGTGAACATCAAAGGAATTCAGAGGAATTCAGAATTCAGATACTTAACAAGGCGGGTAGCCAGTTTGTTTCAAGAATGGTTCTGTTTTGCAATGGGGATAGACTCATAGAGAATTAGAGAACTAAAGCTCAAGCGCTGTGTGTTATTGCAAAGACAGTGTTGAAGAGAAAGATGAAGTTACACTATCTACCATTGTTGGCACTGGTGTCAAGTGCAGTGGCCATAGACGGGGTGGTCCAGTTGGATGTGACGAAGCAGTATAAGCTCAAGTTGTTCAAGTTACCAAAATTAACAGACTTGTTCAATTGGAAAAGAGATGATGACGATGATGATGATGATACTTATGACCAACAAATGACAGATGAGATCTCTGGTTATTTCACAAACATCACATTGGGTTCACCAGGTCAAGAGATCAGAGTTCATATAGACACTGGTTCTTCAGATTTGTGGATTCCTGGGGCAAAGAATAAACAATGTGGTGATGATTCTGGTAATTCAACATCTTCTGGTATAACTGCTGGCGGTTATAATTCAACTTCAGGTAATTCTAATAGTACAAGTGATAGTGTTAGTGAAAGTGGAGATAAAGCTTTACCAAAGATTGATGATAAAGAACTACATTATTGTACCAATGTTTCAACATTCGATAAAGATGATTCATCTTCATGGTCCAAAAATATATTTGCTGATCCTTTTAAAATTGAATATGCTGATGGTACTTTTGCTAATGGTACTTGGGGTTATGATGAAATTAAATGGGGTGAAATAGATTTAAAGAATTTTTATTTTGCAGTTGCTGATGATTATAACGTTACAGGTTCAGTTTTCGGTATTGGATTAACAGATGGAGAAACTACAAATATTAAACGTTATTCCCCAACAACATATACATATTCGAATTTCCCACAAAGATTAAAAGATGACGGGTTGATCAATAAGAATGCTTATTCATTATATTCTCAATCACAACCAGATGAAGAAGATGGTTCTTATGCTAATGTCTCAATCTTATTTGGTGGTGTTAATCATGCCAGATATGAAGGTGATTTAATAACAGTCCCACTTTCTGAAGGTAATTCACTTTCTGTTGCAATTGATGGTATTTCTGTTGCAAATCCTTGGGATCCATATATCAATGGTGATATGGCCATACCAGATGATAAAAATTATACAGGATTATTAGATACAGGTTCAACAAATATTAATATGCCAAAGGAAATCTTGGAAAATATTATTAAATCAATTGATGAAAATACAACATTAGATACTGTACAAGATTATTATTATTCATTACCATGTTCATTACAAAATACATCCAAGATTCTTTATTTCAATTTCCAATCACAATTAATCCCATTGAATATTTCAGATTTAATTTTCCCAGTTGAAGCAGTTGGTGAATCAAATTCAAATGGTACACAATGTTTCTTAAGAATTTTTGAAGGTGATGAAATTATACTTGGTGATTATTTCCTTAGAAATGTATATTTGGTTTATGATTTACAAGATCGTGAAATATCATTAGCACCAATAAAATACACTTCAGAAGATGATATCGAAGCAATTAAATCCACAATCCCATCAAAATCAAGTTCATCATCATCATCACAATCTAGAACTTATAAACCATATCCTGAACAAACAAATATTCTGATAGAATCAAGTTCTGAATTCCATAAACCATGGCCATCATCATATTCTTCAGCATGGTCACATTCAGTTTATCCATCACAATCATGGTTAGATACAACTTCCACAACATCTTCAGGTTCCTCAGGTTCATCTGCTTCTTCAGGTCCTTCTGCTTCAATAACTGGAAGTTCAACAGGTCCAGATGGTGCTGGTGGAGTTGGTCCAGGGAATACAATGACCACTTCATATTATGGATTGGCTCATATGCAACAAGATCCTGATAATTATGCTGAAGCTGGTGGTAAAACTGGTGCATTATCTGCATGATTTAGACCTCATGGTTTTAAAAAAATTATACAACACATTCTAAACTTTCTCTATGTTTGTTCCTTTGTTTTTAAAGGAATAAAATATTATGTACTCTTTATATACTATATACAATAGATGCTATTGAATTAAAATGGACTATATCTGTATTTTGATCCTTTGATTCGTGTAGTACCTATTTATCTTAAGTTATATCTAATAGAATACCGATCAACTACAATTTTGAACTTTATAATATTTAATTGCAAGTTTCATTATAGCACGTTAAAAACAAAATGTAGATATCTATGACGAGTTTATATATAATACAGTATATATGTGTTTGTGTAATTGTTAATGTTAATCATTGTTCTTTATCAATTTCTTTATGAATATCTAAATGAATGACATGGAGTGTTGTTACTTCTTTAATTAAAAAAATAAACAAGGTTATTAATAAATTTTGTTCAAATATATTCACCAACTGTTGATAAATCAATTGAATCTGATTCAACATTTTCCCAAAATTGTTTATTTTTTTGAACCAATTCAGAACTAAATTTTAATTCTGGTAATACAGTACAAACTTCTTTGAAAAGTGCTTCAGCAAATGTATTTATGAAAAATAATTGACCTTTTGGTAATGAAGGATTATTATCAACAGCTTCTTTGACAGTTATTGGGAAATGTGGACCTAATCTTGGATCATCTAATTCATCAACACTTATACCTTTATTTAAATTATTTTCTAATTGAGCAATTTCTGAAAATTCACGACCAAGTACCACAGCCCATTTTGTTGAAATAAATAAAGGTCTTGAAACATTTGAAATATCTGCACATTTTATAATTAATGATAAAATAACATTTGTATGTTTTAAAGAATCTTTAATTAATGGTCTTTGTTCAGGATTTTCTAATAATTCTGAAACTTGATTTATTTTATGAAGATATTCAAAATGATTAGCCATATCAGTGGCTAAAATTGATTCAATTTGCATAGTCTTTGTGTTTAAAGGTGAATCTTTTTCATTTGTAAATTCATTTTTCAAAAAAGATGGCCAATGGAAAGATAAAATATCTTGAAATATAGTTAAATGATAGTGTTCTAATACTGATTGATTTGAATAAATTTTAGCAATTGGAGATTCATTATTAATTAAAAATGGATTTGTTAAACCTGGATGTCCAACATCATGACCAATACTTGAAACAAGTAAAGCTAAAGTTTGAATTGGATGTAATAATGAATTATCATGATTATAATCTTGTTTACCTTGGTATTTATAATTTGAATTCATTTGATCTCTTGGATGAATTTGATAATCATTTGTATAATAAGGGAATTTTGGTAATGCTTCAATACTTAAAAGGAAATAAAAAGTTGCTTGTAACACATCAACTGCATGTCTAAAATTATGGAAATTATTCCCTCCACGATAAGAATCTCTCAGACTGAAAAGGAAACTGAAAATTTCATTATCTTTTAATAATAAAGAATCATTATCCTTGATAATACCAAATGAAATTTTAAAAATTTGGAAAGCACAATAAGTTATATCACAAGTTAATTCTTGAGCAATAAACCCCCAATTACCAATACAATATAAATAATATTCCAATGGTTTTGGTAATGATAAAATTTTGAAAAAATCTATATCTTGATTAATTAATGAGACATAATTTATAAGTTTGTTTGAAATTTGATAATCTTTTTGTAAAATTGTATTTAAACAATTTGTCATACTATGTAAACAAGGACATTTTTTAGTATTTTCATTATTTAATCCAGTCCAAGATTTCATTCGAAGTATTCTATTTTTTAAAACTTTATGATAATCATCAATAACTTTATTTATCTTGGTAATGGAAAATTCATTTAATTTATAAATTAATGGATTAAAATGTTTATAATGATGTTTTAATAATTCATAAATTTCATCATATGGTAAAATATTCAAAGGAGTTTTCTGTATCCCTTCGTGTAAAACACGACTTCTATTTGTTAATGTATGTTCATTTATAATGAAAACTGAAGGATAATCTAAATCTAAATCTGAAGAACCAACATCACATAAATAAATTATTAAATCTGATAAATTTCTAAAATGTTTAACAACAGATTGATTTAAAGAGCTAAATCTCTTGATATTTTCATCAACAGTCTTGACATCAGAAATAGTATCAAGATAAAGCACTTTTGACATGATTCTTAAACCCCTTTTCTTCCCAAGAGTTGATGGTTGATATGAAATATATTGAAATCTTTTTGTTTTGTATCTATTATACCAGCAATCCAATAAGCAACCACAAAAGCAAAAAAAACTGGAAACGTGAAAACCACAGATCTAGACTGATAAGTGAGATAACCAATAATATAATATGAATAACCCAAGATCACTATTACCACCTTCCAACAATAATAAAGTAGCTGTAAAGATTTAAAAAGTTAAAACCCACAAGATCAAAGTTCCTGAATTTCAGATCAATAAACCGTTTGAGTTTGTTTGTTAACGGTTTTAACTTTTCAGGTTTTTTCTTTTTGTTTCAGCGCGAAATTTCAGTTTTTGGTTTCGCGGGTGTGCTGACTGAACCGAGTCAGTGGAGATCTGGGGGACTTGTAGTGAAGGGGGGATATGGGGGTGTTTTTGTTAGGAAATGTGTTGATCTTATGAAATTAATACAATTATTTAGATCACATTTATATAATTACCAGTTTATTCGGTCATTTTGCCACCATTATTACCCCTTTTCCCCTGCTTTCCCCTGTTCCTGACTCAGCTCATCACTCGGAGCGGACTTAAAGTGATGAGCATCACCGTTTTTAGTCGCGTAGACCTCAAAAAGTGGGACTATATTGGGACTATAGATAAAGAATCGAGAGACTTTGGGGACTAGATAATAGATAATATGAGACTACTCATATATTAAAAATTTCATAAATATATTAAATATTATAAATTAAAATCAAAATCATCATTCATATACAGGGTTTATATAGGATAAATAGAGAGTCTCTAGTGAACTATACTGAGACTGGACCGAATTGTTCACTGTTGATTGTGGAAACATCTAATCCTTTACCACTTAAATCATCTTGAATAACTTTCATGAATGGTAATGGACCAATTAAGTAATAATTATAATCATTAATGTTTTCCTTTGTGAAGAATGATAAATCTGAAGTGTTTATACGACGATCATGAACTTTATAGTTTGAACCAGTTGGTAAATTTAATTTAGAATTAGATTCAACACCTTTTGAAATATATTCATTAACTTGTAATAAATTTGGATATTTTGAAACAATTGTTGAAACCCAATCATTGAAAGGTCTTGAAGTTGTATTTGAATTTGAAAGAAACAATTTAACATCATTCCCTCTGCTTAAGAAATATTCAACTAATGAAAGTGAAGGAGTAATACCAATACCACCAACAAAGAAAACAACTGGTTTATTAACTTCTTCAGTACGTTCTTCAATTGATTTCAATGCAGGTTCTAGTAATTTACCATATGGTGAAGTGATTTGTAATTTAAAACCTTCAGAAACATGATTATGAATAAAATTTGATGCAATACCATTTGGAATTTTTCTAATTGAAATTCTATAATGATCTAAACCATGTTCTTGACTGATTAAATCATTATATTCATTACTTAATGAATATTCTCTTGATTGTAAAGATTGTTCATCATCAGTTTCTAATCTAATTGTAATATATTGACCAGGTTGGAATTTTGGTAATTTACCATCATTAGCTTTAATATAAATACTTTTAATTGAATCAGATTCTTCAACAATTTTAAAAACAGTAGCATCTTTAAAACCTAACCAAGCATTTTCAATTTTTAATTCAGTAGCATATCTTTCCTTTTCTAAACCAATTAAAATATTAGCTAAATCAAAATATGCAACTTTCCAAGCTTCAATAAATTCCTCAGTGGCAGCTTCACCAAGCATTTCACTTAAAGTTTTCAAAAGACAAGTACCAACAATATCATATTGTTCTGGAGTAACTTGTAGACCAACATGTTTTTCCACAATTTGTCTAACAAAACCTAATAAAGGAGTTAAATCATTAATATTTTTAGCATAATTAACTAAAGCAAAAGCAAGGATTTTTGGTTGAGATTTTGTCTTTTGATGAGTCTTGTTGAAGAAAGGACGAACTTCTGGATAAGTTTCCAACATGTAAGCATAGAAGTTGGCAGTTAATTCCACACCATTTGATTCTAAGAATGGGATAGAAGCAGTGATGATTTCTTTTTGTTTATCAGTTAAAGGCATTGTGAGTTGTAATTGTAATTGTAATTGTAATTAATACTTTATATATAATACCCAACATTCTAACCAACCATGAGGGAACCACCATCCTTTTATACACTTGAGCCAAATCCATAAATCACAGGATTCACTAATAACATAACGGAGATCCAACTGCCAACACAAAGCATAAGTCACAGATAAATCAGTTGTTCATAAAATTAAGACCGATAACTTACTATGTGGATCACGTGAAGATCTGACCATAAAAGTTTATTATCCGCAAAATTGTGCATTTAGAAAATATTTAAAGTACTTTTTGAATTTTGATTTGAATTTGAGTGAGTTTGATTGGACGGTGAGTGAAGGCTGAAACAGGAACAGTTTGAACAGTTTGGTATTTGCGGGATGTTTGAAGTTTGACACGAACGGTTTTTTGTGTCTTGTAGGTTGTAGGGGTTGTACTATGTAGATTGTAGGTATAGTAAAGAGTTGATGAGCTGGGTATGGTGATAAGAAAAAAATAATAGAGTTGGGCTATCTTATCAGTGTCTCTGTGATGTGTGTTTGAGACTGAGCAGTGAGCATAGCTTTGAATTACTTTACTAACTATGTAGTTAATACAGACTTAGTTAAACTGATCTAACTTCTATCTTGAGCAGTATACATTCTAAACCACTTTATCCTGCATCATCCAATCTCCATGAAATGTCCAGGGAGTACGTTTACTAGTCAAACTGAATATTTGGCATTTATTTGAATGGGGGCAATATATATCAAAAGGCCAGGTCTATCCCAGTATCCCATTTTCAATCACCCACCAAACTTGACACATTTTAGTGTAGAAAAAGTTTTTCATAGACCCATCGCATCTTGGAAAAAAATTAAACCTCGATCAGTTTAAACAATAATACTCATGAAAATAAGCTTCCATTGAACAAGTATACCTCCATACCATTAGGTCACATCTTTGTGTTTTTTCCAGGCTCACGCTTATTATTATGACAATACAACAAAATTCAACATCACAAAGAAGCTTGAAAAGTAACATAAGATCTACAAGAAATCGAATCCATTCAATTCTTTATGATTCAGAATGGATTAAAGAAGTTCAAGAATCTTATAATTTACCATTAATACCCAATGAACGTTGTGGATTATGGTACGTCGCACCTCATTTAAGAAAAGATACAGCTTATTTTAAATCAACAGATGGTCATACAAATGAATGGTCTTTTTCAACAAGAAGATTAAATTTCCATCTCTTGGATTTAATGTTGGAAAATAATGGATTAATTATTGTGGATTCAACAAGAAGAGGTAAAACTATGCCTGATGCTCTTTCTAAAACAATTCCAATTTGGTGTGCTGTTTTGAATTATATCATGTTTGGTTCAAATGAGACAAATAATTGGTGTTTTGTACCACCATCAATCATCTCCAAGAATGAACATAATTCAATTATTAAATTAATTCCAATTTTTGCTAAACAAGTGGAAGAATTAGGTCTTATAACTAAAAATAAATTAATTGAGAAATTTCAAGGGAAATATATAAGACCATTATGGATATATCCTGGATTATCATTACCATTTGAACCACCAATTTTTGAAGATTTCATACCAGTAATTAATTGTGTTGCAAGTTTTAGAGCTGATGATGGGAAAACTACTCTAAGAAAGAAATTAAATGATGAAACATCTGGTATAACAATTGCAGAATATCAATATGTTCAAGGTGCTGCTGATGATCATGAATTATGGTCATTTAATCTTACGCCTGATCTATTATGGCAACATAAAGAAGAATTAGAATTAAATTTACAAATTAAGAATGATGATGAATTGATTGAATATATTCAAGGTTTAAAGTTGGAAAGTTCTTATGAATCATCATCCACTGATGTTGTCTCATTGACTAATGATTTAAGTATTGGTAAAGTTGTTGATGATATTGATCCAAATACATTATTACAATTTGATGTAATCATTTTATTATCCAAGCAATTTAATTTTAAAAATCTAAAAGATGACTCCAAACAAAAAACATATAGATATGAATTATCATCAGATAAAAAAGGTTCAAATGAATTAAGGAAACATGTTGAAACAATCTCCTCCCAGTTCAATGGTAATTCCCTGGTTCTTTGTGAAACTGGTACAGATTTATCACCTGCTGTTGCATTATTACAATTGACAACAAAATTTAATACAATGTGGGAACCAGTATTGGAAAGACCAATAGTTACCAAAAACACTATTAAAAAGCATTTAGCTAAGATTTTAGAGAAAAAGAAAGTTAATCCAAGTAGGGCTACTTTACAGAGTATAAACACATATTTGATGTGAAATAATGAAACTAATGAAACTTATGGAACTTATGAATCAATAAATGAAATATCTCTATACTGCTTTGTAATCACTGACGTAATATTCGCGATTTCTCACCCAAAACTTTTTCGCGCTTTTTCATTTATTTCCTCGAGAAACGTAAATTAAAGGTGAAAAATGACATCAAAAAAGCAGATTTGAAAAGTTTTGGAGAAGAAGTGGTTTTATAAAGTCAAATTAGAAGATAGTTTGAGATATTATTCAGTCATATGTCCATATGAGTTGCATAACGAAAGGAAGTCCATTCAGACTTTTATCAAAGAGAAAATTCTCTATGGTGTTAAACCCAGAATTTGCACATAATACTCATCAAAATCAACATCAAAATCTTCAAGAAGATTTGATCCAATCTAAACATGAACAACTTACAGTGAATCAATTTATTAAACAAACAAATAAATCCCTCCAATTACCTAAATTCACAGAGACAAAGAAAAAATCCATCCCACTTACACCTGAACATATTCAAATTGGTTCACAAATTAGAAATATATTAAATAAAGAAAATAATTTTGATGAATTATTATCAATAATCACTAAAATCTCAGATTCTAGAAGTTATCATATCATACTTGAAGGTTTACAACGTGAAGAAATAACAGTTTTAATTACATCATTAGTTGATGGTCAAGAGGAAAAAATTTATCAATATAATGATTCTAAAATAACACTTGATTTAAATAATAAATATGAAAATATGGAAGGTCTTTATGCTTCATCATATACAATTTCAAAATTTTATTTAGGTTTATTAGCAACAAATTTTGAATTATCAATAACTGAAATTTTTTCCTTATTAAAATTAGAATCAAATAATTATAGATATGATCGTGCTGCAGAATTAATACAATATCTTGATAGGAAATCAAAATCTAAAAATTCCATCAAGACTTCTAAATATTGGAATTATAAATTAAAAGTTCTTGGGAATGCAAATCCTGGGTTTTGGACTGTTTTAAATAAAGATCGTAATAAAGTTAGATTATCCAAAAGAGCTTTGAAACAAGATTTTGAAAAAATGTTAAGTTTTGGTGTATTAATGAATCAATTATCTCAAGAGATTGGTTATATAGTACCGAATTTAGAAACTCATGGATTGATTATAGCAAGTGCTGGTAGAGATAATCAATTGGAATTAGTGGAAAATCAAATATTAAATCTTTGGGGTATTGGTATTGATAATATTGATTCTAAAAATTTAGTTGATTCAAATTCTTTAATTTATCCAGATTATAATTTATTAAAAAGTATAATTGCTGCATTTGCTGTTAATAATGAATTTGAAATTGCTATAAAATATATTACAAATTTCCAATCAGTTTATAACATTGATTTATCCAAAAAATTATTTTGGAAAGAATTATTTAATTGGGCTGAAGCAACATTAAGTAAAGATGATGAAAGTTATAAAACCACTATGGAATCAATTTGGAAATTAATGGAAACAAATTCACCAAATTTCAATGTTGTTATGGTTCAAAAAAGATCACAATTTTTGGAAGAACAAGGAAGATTAAACGATTTAATTGAATTAATCTTACATAGTAAAAAAGAAATTTCTAAATTTTATGAACCATTAAAATTAGAAAAGGGTAAAATATTATTGAAAGAAATTTATCAAAAAATTTGTGTTATGACATTAGCAGAAACTAAAGAAGAATCAATTGATTTAATTAAATTATCCAAAACTATATCATTAGATAAATCTTCTCGTGATCAATTAAGTGAAATCTATAAACTGGAGTTAAGTAAAGCATTAGAAAATCGTAGAAGATTTGAACAATTACAAGAAGAATATGATGAAGAGGATGATGAGAATTCATTATGGTGAGAATATATATAGACCTCTTTTATAGAACAAAACACATTAATCTATATTTATATGCATATAATTATATTTTGATTTTTTGTAACTCTATTGAATTTGTATCAATTCATTTGAATTACTATATTTACTAACTATTAACCAACCCCATCTAAACCAAACCATTTGAGAATGATGAGCATTTGTCATTGCTGCAATACCTAATATAGAAGAAGGTAAATCAGCAAATATGTGAACATTTTGGTATTGTTCATGATGTAGTTTCCTCAAGTATTCAATTGGTAAATAAATATCTAATCCATGAGGTTTTAATTGATCTTCCACAATATGTGCAATAAGACTTATTATTCTTAATAGTAATTCAATATTTGTATAAATAGTTGCTGAATATTTTTCCAAAAAGTTCCAGGTCTTTAAGGAAAAGACTGATTTATTGGTTTTCAAAGAACCATAATATAATGATTTATGATTTGGATGATTTGATATACCAAATTCATCAAATGTTAATACAACATCTGTTTTCTCCAAAATATATTCAGCAACTTTATCAGAATCCCAAGTTATATTCATTGAATCTTTAAAACTATTTTCATCATTAACAATTTCATAATCATGAATCCCTAAGATCTGAAAACTTCTCTCTAATTCTTTTTGTCTTACAGGGCCTAAACCTTGATCATTACCGATTGAAAGACAAGTAGCTGAAATGGTATTATTATGACGAGCTTTACTCAACTCAACCAAAGTTGGTGCAAAGAACATAACTTCATCATCCGGATGGGCAATCAATAGTTGTATATGTTTATTTTGAAGGGCTTCAGGTATTTTGTTTAATTTGAATGAAGTATCTAATTCTTGAATTGATGTAGTAAGAATAGCCCAAAACAAAAAAGATGTGAATAAAAGCAGTACGATCCCCTTTGCCTTTCTTAAAAAATAGCTACCCATGGCTTGTAATATTGATCTGGTGATTCTTTTGGGTTTGTTGATTTCAGTGGAGAAAGACGTTGAAGTTGACGTAAAAGGTGACGTTTTGGATTTGATCTCGATATTGACATTTTTTGGCATCGGTGTTTCTTACAAAAATGGAATGATTTGCGGAATGATTTTAGCGAAGAAATATTTGTTTTAAAGAAATGTGAGTTTTGTATGTTCAGGTTGTCAGGAATTTAGGGCTTTTAAGATATTTATATAATCATTTTGGTTGTGTCATATTGAAGTCGTTGCTGTTTTAAGCACAGGCTGTTCGTTTACTATTTTTAGTTGTTCATGTTTGCGATACTTCCGATGAGAATACCAATATTGTGTACATTATGCTCAAAATTTCATATCATTCATTAAAAAGTATTATATAAGTATCACATATATATATATAAAGGGGTTTGACCACTATTAGCCTATTTCCCCCAGATCCAATTGGATAATTTACTATCATTATTATCTGAAATGGTCTCAATAGTACCAGCTTGACCATCTTTAGGAATTAATCTTTTAAACTTCTTATTTTCAGATTTCCCATCTTTAAAATAATTACTAATTTCAGTGATTTCTTCACCATCACCATTTGGTAAAGTTCTAAAAGAAACTGATTTACTACTGCTTATGATATCATGTTCACCATTTTCAAATGAAATATCTTTAGCATAACCATTATAAATATCCTGGATGTTTTCTCTTTGTCTTGAAATTTTTTGTTCTTCATCTTTTTGTCTAATCAATTGTTTCATTTGTGATTTCCATCCTAAAAATCCAGTATAATCATTAAAAAATAATCCATATTTATTTGATTTATCTTCTAAAACATCTTCTTTACTCAAGACACGATCACCATTTAAAGTACCCTTTGGGAATAAACATCTCCACCAACCTTTATCATCCCAAACGGATAAACCATCTTTATCTAGACATTTTTGATATAATTGTGCACTTGGAGTTGGATAGGCTTTTAAACCTGTGGCAAATCTTTCTTCACCAAAACCTTTAGTTATACCACCCAATAATTCATTAACATTTTGATTGAATGGGAAATCACCACTTCCAAATACTTCTTTAAGACCACCAAGATCCAAAACATTACCTAATGGTGAAATGATTTGATTATTCAAGAAATCATTAACAATGGCAATATCATCATTTGAAGCAAAACGATTATTGATTGTTTGTTCCACTTGTGTGGTTGTGTAGTCCTTGTCTTCTTGAGAATTACTAAAGATACCCATCTTCGAATAGCAAGTTTTGTATTTGATTCAATAGAACAACCAGACAATGCAAATGAAAAAGGGATGTTTTTTGCCTTCTATATATAATTTTAGTCTTAATACTTTTTAGAACATGCTAGAAAAGCTCATCGGTTGAGCCACGAATTCTGGATAAAATGGAGCTCAAAATCAAAGTCAAAATCAAAGTCAAAATGAACAAGATATATTTATGCTTGATTCTCTAAGCTACAGATTATCAATGTTTATATCATGTTCATATCATTCATAAAAAATGCAATAAATTAAATTAAATCCCAAAAACCTGATTGATGTTAACCCATAATTCAACCTTCCAATTTAGAAAAATCAAAATCAAAACTACCACCACATCCACAACTTGAAGTGGTATAAGGACTATCAACAACTTTAAACATACTACCAATCAATTCTTTGGTATAATCAATTTTACTTTCTCTCAAAATATTTAAAGAACTTTCATCAATGATTAATTTTGCTCCATTTTTTTCAAATATACAATCATCTTCAGTCTTGGTTGTTGTATCAGATAATTGTAAGTTATATTGAAATCCATGACAACCACCACTTTCAACATTCACTCTAAGTGCAACTTCTGGATTTGATTCTTCTTTAACAATTTGTTGTAATCTTTCCACTGCACGATCTGTTAAATCCATAGAGAGTAGTTTCCCTTCATCTGTGTATTTCTTATTGATTATGTTCATTTTAGCTGGAGCATCTTGATTCAAAAAACTTCTTGTTGTGTTACCTAATGATGTTGGAGCTCTTTTGTTTGTAACTTCATTTGTTACATTTGATGTTGAATATTTTTGGAAAAGATGTGTTGGATAGAGCACAGCTGTAGAGCTTCTCAGTATTGTTTGACTTGCTTGTCTTGTAACTCTTGGTAATACTCTTGTCACTAGCATGGTTTGTGTTGAAAGAATATGTATATCTCAGTTTCTTTAGTTATGATGTAGTTAGTAATAAGGATTGATTTCCTGCTTTTTGTAATCCGTAATCGATTTTTGAACATTTTGAGATCCCTCGAATTCCGACTTTTAGTTTTCGCGGGTTTTGTATGGAAGTCCGTGACCGCAGTCAGATGACTCAGTTGAATTACGAGGGCTTGATAATGGCCATACAGAAGATGGTTTTTACAAATTAATTGAATATTTTTTTTCAAATTCATTTAAAATGATTTTTGTATTTCGTTAAATATTCGTTAATTAGTTTGAGGTTTAGCTCTTTGATTTCGTCCTTTTGTTTTGGAACCAGTTTTTCCTTTTTTTGGTTTTGAAGCAGTAACTTCTTGGGGGTCATCTTCAATTTCTAAAGCATCAGATTTTGATGATCCTGCACTTGGTTTCTTCTTTCCCTGTTGAGATATTCTTCTATTTGCTGGTCTATTTGGTTCTCCATCCAATTCAACAACTTCTTTCTCTTTTGTAATATCATCATTGATTGGTGATTTGGGTGTTTCAGGTTCTTTTGATTTATTTTTCATTAATCTTCTATTTAGTCTCTCAGCTCTTAATTGCTCTTGTGTTGGCTCAGGAGCTGGTAATTCTTCAACTTCTGACAGTGATGATGAATATCCATCATCCTCGATATATGATATGTTTCTAAATCCTGATAAACGATTTTCTTTCAAGTTTGGATAATTCTCTTCCACTGTTTCTATACCAGTTTTCAGGTCATCAACATTAATAGAATCTTCTTCAGATGGAACTTTTTCATTTTGCTTTTCTTTCAAATCTTCATCTTCCTCATTATCATGGACCATTTCCACATCTGAGTCATTACCCCTATCATCTCCAAAGATCCTTCCCATAACTCTTTTTGATCTTCTCCTTGTTGTTGTATAATTCTGATCTCCATCGTTTGAAGTAGTAGCTCCAGGTTCTGGATTTATAATTGTCTCCTTCATTTCAACATCATCATTATCATCATCTCTATCTTGTGTTTGTTCCTTCTTTCTTTGATCTGAGGCAATAGAAAATTCATCTTCATCGATCAATTCCTGACTAAATTGCACTGGTGGAGAAGATGTTGGTTTATCAGATTTGATATGTTGACTTGGTTCTGGTGTAAGAGCTTCAGGCACTGGTGTTTCTGGAATTGGTGTAGATGTAATCTCTTGAGGTGTAACTGATCCAGAATTTAAAGGCTCTGTGGAATGAATTTTGATTAAACTTTCATCATGTATATCGCGTTTTTGTGCATCCTCTTGTGTATCTATATTTTCAAGATCTTGTTCTGATTTCAAATTATTTGATTCTTTGGAATTTTCATTTCCTTCATCTTCAGAATTTTCAATTGAATCATGATCTTTTGAACTTCTTAATATTTGTGATGACTTATCTTTAGAATAATTGAAAGTAAACATTGTTTTTGGTTTCCTATTTTCATTTTCATCGTCACTAGAGAAAAATCTCTCTTGATCGTTGTTATTTTTCACCTTTGGTTCTTGAACTCTAGAAATTTCTTCATCTCCAACCTTATTATAATCAGCCTGTGTGATCTCATGATACGAATCAGGATTATCATCACTCACTGGAGTTTGTTCTTTACTTAGTTTTGAAGTTGAAGATTTGGATGCCCCGTTAGGTCCAACTTTTGATGTGAAACTTGCTGAATTTTTATCATTCTCTTTTCTCGTCATTTCTTGTGAATCTTCATCATCTTCTTTGCCTTCAGTATTCACTTTACCATCTGGGTCAATCTCATTTTCATCCTTTTTATCTTGGTTTCGTGGAGCCTCTGGTGTTTGATCATTATCTTGCGTATCTTCTGTAGCTTCAGTTGAATCATTATTTTTATTCTTACCATCATGAAATTCTTCAGCATCAATATAAACAATATCATCATCATCATCTGGTACTTGCTCGGGTTCATCATTTTCAGAATCATCTTCACGTGGTGCTTGTTCACTTTGTAATTGTTTCAAAGTTTTCCTTAATCTTTCTCTCATCTCTTCACGATCTTTTCTCTTGAAAAATTGAGAAAGTTCAAATGTTTTATGATCTGGTCTATTCCAGAAATTCAAACAACGATCAGGATTTTCTAAAAATATGAAAACATTATAAATAACATGAACACCACAATCATTAAAATTTGGTTGTTTTGGGACTGGTGAAGTTCTAAGCTCAATTCTTTTAGGATCAACATCAATCTGAAATTTATCTTTTGCATAATTCACAATAAAATTTTGGAAAGTTTTTAATATATTTTTATGTTCTTGTTTTAATGAATCAAAAACATAAATTTTACAAATGGAATGTTTATCATGTTTCTGTAAAACTTTATCAAAATCAACTATGATTGAACAATACCAATGTAAATTTTCATTGATGGGTACAATGATATATTTGATGGAACTGAAATCAATTTTTGAAACCCATCTCTTGATATTATCATAATTATTAATACTATCTGATAACTTCGAAAAGAAAAAAGTTGTAAAGACATGTAATTCTTCACTTTTAACACGATCTTGATCAATGGCTTGTTCTGCAAAATATTTGATGAAAAAGTCAATCATTGTATCATTGATCCATTGACTCTTATAAAGACATTGAAAATCTAAATTCTTGATCTTATAATATGAATTATCTTTAAATATATAAACCAATGATGGCTTGAAAACTTCTCTTGGTCCTCTGTTGGCTCTTCTTGGCCTTGTTACTGATAATCCATCGTCAATTGTTATTGGATGACGTAAAGAGGTAGGTTCAGGAGAGTTTGATCCTCCCTCTGTTCTTGTAACTGATCTTGTCAAACGAGCTGAACCTAGATCTGGAGCATAAAATCGGGTAGGAGTTGCTGGTGAGGATATACCTATTGGGTTTGATGATTTCTCCTTCGCTGATTTGGGTAAATTGATTCTTGATGCTGGTTTCTTGATACCTTGTGGTCTGTTTTTGTTTAGTGAATTGAAGTTCTTCCCAGATAAATTATTTCTTGAGCCTTGTTGACTATTAGAGTTCCCTAGAATTTTACATAGGTTCAGGTAATGATATGAGCTTAATTTTCGTGCAAATTCCATGTTTTTCAACTCGAATGATCCAATATCATTCAGCCTTTGTTTTCTTTTGAGTGTATTCCAAACTTTTAGGAAGTTCTTATTGTGATTAAAGCCAAGATATAGTAATATACTTCTGCACTGCAGCTCTTTTTCACCATATTTGACATCGTCTTTGAAAATGAACATAGTTTTTGTCTCTGTGATTAAAACTTCAGTGACCAATTGTGAGGGATTGATATTTAAAACTTCCTCGCCATCATTCTCGAGTACCATTTTCTTGAAATCTGTACTCATCAGAAATTTGGGGCTTTGACTATATGATACTTCATTGTCACCCATTTTTACTTCAGTTGGAGAAGACAGTATCAAATCAAATAATGTAATATCAACTTGTGCATCAAAATCCTCCAATCTTAAAATCCTTCTTCGTACTTCAACATCGTTATCTCCATTACCAGATAATACTAATTGATTTTTTGGGTTATCAAAAGGTGTCACTAATTTATATAGGGGAATCTCCTGAAAATGATTATGAGTAAACTTGTTTTTGATTTTATTTTTATTTCCCAATGGTTTTGATGCAGTATATTCATTCATTAGTTTCTTTTTCTTCTTCTCTGGCGTGTCGCCCAACATCAAGTGTTTATCAGAGGGTATGAGTGGACTTGAACTCCTTAGGGTGCTGGGGCTTTCCTTCTTCAACTTCTTTGTGCTAAGAAAATATCCTTTGTTAGTAAATCATCACTTTAAAACAGTTACACCATCTAAAGGTACATACCCTAAATCATTTCGCGGTTGGAACCCGCCATCACTCTTTCTCTTCGCTTTTTTGAATATAGTACTCATTTATTTTGTATTGTGTCAAAATGTACTCAAAAGGTCTATCAGCAGTCCAATTCTTCAATGTAACTTTGGATCACAGTGTTTATAAACTTCTATGGTCTTTTGATAATTAAACGTATAAGCGTGAGATTTCAAAAAAAAACAATCATGAGAAAAAAAACCGCGATGTTCGCTCTGTCACGAAGCAAGTGTCAGTAGAGCCATAATATCAGGACTACAAAATTCAATAAATTAACATGAAAACAAATGTTTATATAAATGCAAATGTTAAGAAGGTGAGCTCGATGTTTAATAGGATTTTCAGCTTATTATAAGCACAAAAAGGTAACTGAAGATACTTCCAGCTGCCAATCCCAAACTCAAGAAAATGGTGGTGAATCCACCAGCTGCTTCTTTCTGCTCATCATCCACATAGTTGGCAACATTCATGAAACAACAACTTAAGTTGTGACCATTAGTGAAACCAAAAGTGAATTGTAACAGTATATAGAATAAGTCTGAGTCAACTATTGGATTTCCCTTATTTTTGGATAAATTGCAAAAAAAGAATAAAGGAACATTGACAAACCTAAGAACTGAATATAACAGTAATTTCCGATCTGATGATATCACAAATTGTGGATATGCACAGACCATACGCCCAGCTAGATCACCTAGGTTCCATACAAGGAAAATGAATGGAATATAAATGTTATCTGATGTTAGTTTCCCCCAATTTGGATTGACTGATGTTATATTTGATGCAAACACTGGAAAAACTAAAGTAATGACAAATATTGTGAAAATGGAAGAGACAATGAATTTTAATTTATCAAATAAAACTGCAAATGGAACATATTCAGAAGGTTGTTGTTGTGATGAGATTGGTGATTCATGTTCAATATCAGTTCCAAGATCATCTTTATATCTGTTTGTAATTAATAATAAAAGAATTGAAATTAAGGTTATGATTGAAGTTGCAACAAAATATATAACAATACCTCCATTTGAATCATCTGATTTACTTGGATATAATAAATTTGATAACATTAATGCAATTGATGGTAAAACACCGGCAATTGCTTGACCAACCATCACAGCTTGTGCATAAATTGGACCCAATACATTAACAATAGCCATACAACCATTTTGTTGGAAGCATGTACCTACTGAACTTAATAAAATTAACAACATGACAAAAGTGAAATAACTTCCACTGTTTAAAGTTGGCCAAAAAAGTTCAATTAAAGATAGTATAATGAAAATACTAAAATTTATCAAACATCCTAATTTAATTCTATTAACAAAATTTGCAAATTGTTTTGTTGATAAATAACTATTCAATGCAAAACTTGTTAATGTAGATACAGTCATCATAGTTGAGCTGTAATTATTACTTAAATTTGAACCAGCTCCAAATTTCTTAATAAAATAAACAGATGCTGATAGAAAACAATTCCATGGCCATAAAATTGATATATCAATACTTAAAAATGTGAAATAACGCAATTGAGCTAGTGATAATTGGAATCTTCCATCATAAAAACTAAAAATAACAGTATGATCAGATGGTGAACTTGATATTATTCTTTGAGCTGATAAATTCAAATGTTCTTGAGATTCATAACGACCTAATGATTCATATTCAACTGGCTCATCTGAAAATTTCTTGGGCATATTGATCTTGATATTGACCTTTGAAAATTTTGAGACTTAATGAGTGATCTAATTAGAAGAGGCAAAAGGATGGATGATTTAAAATGCTAAAGGCATTCATTCCAAGGTACGCGACCTCTTATCTATTGTTTTTTCGCTGAGAAAGCGTGCAACACATCAGAACACCACATGTTAGACATTATATAATACATGAAATTCGTAACTTCTTATTTCAAACGAGCCATTCACATATTCAAATCGAAAGTCTTAATAAATCATGGATTGGTCACTTGATATTATATCATGAACTAGTCACTAACTTCTTTCGAACTTAGTGCTCTTAAATACATGAATATCTCAATCAGCAATTATCTGCTTATGTAATCATATTTAGCATCTGATATTATTGAATTACGTTCAATCAATAATAACTTGTATCTTATCTTCAAAAAAAGTTTGAAAAACAATTCTTTTATTAAATAGAACCTTTGTGATCCACTGATGCACATATAACGGAAATTTTGTTTTTTTTGCTGGGAGTTTTACTATGGGAAAAAAAATATATGGCTTACGTAACGAATGTTACAGAATCGAAAAAAAATCGATACTTCAAAGGTATCGATTTGAAAAATATCCCAAAAATTTCGAGTCTTCCCAGCCAAAACACCTGGACACCACCTCAGAATCAAAGACCTTAATTTCTGACCTTAGCCCAGGCCTCTCGTAAAATATATGCATGCAGCCCAATTGGTAATACATATCAAAAGCAATATAGATCGCTCGTTTGTAGCATAATGCAGTTCTAAATTTGGAATTATAAAATAGAAATTCGTTGGAAATATTACGCGTTTTAAAATTTTAAATTTGGCTCGATTTGGCGTTTATTTTGGGTAATTTATAAAATTGGATTATATAATTCTGTATAGTGTGATTATGTAATCTAGACCATAAAAATAATTATCAGCAAAAAAACTAATTAACAAACACATCAAATTGAATCATGAGCAACGATAACGGATCAAGCAGCTAAACAATCCAAATTCAAATCC